TTGGTTCTTTCCCTGAGTCCCTCTTCGGCTCTTCCGCCCCTGCAAACGCAATGTCCGGCAGCTCTGAACATTCCGGTGGACCCCTGACTTGTCGTCGGTCTAGTTGGAGCAGAGAGGTGAGAGGCGAGCTGGAGAGGAAAATGATTTCTTCATTCATAGTTTCCTTTCTTCATTTAATTGGGGAAAAAAATTGGCCATGGAAATGAGGCCCCCTTTAGCTTTGGGCTTGAGGCGCAGGCTTCATCTGCCTCGCCTCAGGATCGGCCATGCAAGCTTATCATGGTTTAGCTTTAGGGTTTGGTTGAGCTTGAAGCAAACGTTTCGACACATTTTGAAGCTCCTATATTTTGATTCTCGTAAAGTCAATTTTTTTTTTTTTTTTTTTTGTCTCGTTCATTTTTTTTCCTTAACCATTTGAAAAGAACCTTGATAAAGAAATTGGCCAGACAATGCCTAAAAGAAACAAGAGTCAAAGACAACATGTGAAGAGGTATAAGAGACAAGGCAGAAAAATATTGTCCGAAAAACTCTTGACAGCAGACCAGATGGATGCATTTATGGATTTGCAGGAGCTTGTGCTGCTATTATATATCTTTTTCATTTATCTTTGTTGAAAATATTGTCCGAAAAACTCTTGACAGCAGACCAGATGGATGCATTTAAGGATTTGCAGGAGCTTGTGCTGCTATTATATATCTTTTTCATTTATCTTTGTTGAAGGGTAAGATCGTCTTTTTCGACACCTTCATGGATGTTTAAGGTAGAAATTAGAAATTATCAAACTTATAATTAAATATAGTGTTAAAAATAAAATAAAAATTGTTTGTTTTACCAAACATGTGAATAAAAATAAAATTGATCAACCTATAAATAATTATAAGCTTTGCAAACATGCATAAATATTTAGGTAAATTGCATTATTTATCCTCAACCTTTCCTAGAAAATGTAGTTTTATCCCTACATTTAATTTTTGGCTCCAGACATTCCCAACTTATTAAAAATTAACAGAACTCGTCCATAATGACAGTTCCATTCATTTTCTGGCGATAGTCTCATATGAGCTGTACATGCCTTGCAATGAGGGCAAAATAGTTCGACAACCACTAAAAATTGAAATAAAAAGAAAATAAATTTTTTTGTTGAAATTTAAGGGCATATAAATATTTGAAATGTGTGAATTGGAAAAGTTTCCAATAGATATGTCGATTAGATGTGACTTTTCATGTGCAAAATAAAGAGTCATGACCTTTTGATCAGATACAATCTAGACCATCATATTGAAATGATGTGATCTAATAGTCGAAATTAATTTGCCAAAAGATACGATCTTTAGAAAGGGCATATGGAAATCTATAAATAGAATCTTCCCAATTTCATTTTCTTCACTCAAAATCAGTTCCTATAAATTGATTTCTAATTCATTTTCTCTCCAAATTATGTCAAAATAATTTTCAAATAATTTTTGAGTTTTATATTTGATATCTTTCATTTTAGAAAAGTACATTCAAGCGTTGGTTTGTCTTGCAAAATTAATATTGTGTTCTAAGTTTAAAAGAAACGTTATGTCTTGAGAGACGAACGTCCATTTGATCATGTTAGCACTAGCGCAAATGACGAAATTCGTCTTAAGGAGATTTGCATTCACGTCTTCATCATTTAATCTCCTGTAATTTTTACATTTCAGTAAATCGATATTATATATGAGTATTTTGATTTCAATAAGTCGAAATTCCATTTTATATTTTGCATGTGTAAATGGTCATTTTGAATATCTACATGAACGTATTTTTGGTAAACATAATATAATTCAAGCACCAATTTATCTAACAATGTTTTCCACCTCAACTCGTCCCACAATTTTCCTTTTATGCCGTATCTATTTCAACTACAAGGAATATAGTGATATTATACAAAATATTAAGTTAATATGTGACCTTCTTCTCTTTTAGCTATATATAATAAATATTAAATATACCATCAAAACTAGGGGTAGAAGTGGAGAAAGCCCTCGTGTTCTTTTGCTCAATTCTCCTTAAAAGAAAAAAAAATAAAAATAAAAATAATAGACTTGTCCCATTAAGAGGTGAGTTCGTAGAACGAGCCAAACCACACTTTGATGAAATAAATCGGCTCGTCATGGACCAAACTAAGCTTGATGGTAGCGTATTGATAGATTCGACTCATCCAAATTTAACATCTCTAATTAAGATCCCTTTACTTTACCCATTTCATGTGGCTTTGAATTTTGAATTGGTATTAGAAATTTAGAGGTGTTGGGATGTGTGTGTGTTGGGGGGGGGGGGGGGGGGGTAGGGGCCTGATTAAATTAAAATAGACACATAGAAACACAATCATTTCATTTGCCAATATCATTCATGCTTCACTTTCTCTTTGTTTCACAATGCATCACTTTTTTATTTGTAACTTCACAATTTTCTATCTTTTATTAAAAGATGTAATGATACAAGGAATCCAGAAAGTGTCAAAATTGAAAAAGTACATTATTAATTTTACCAATTTAGTTATCCTATGTACATTTATTGAAACCCTACATTAGAAAATGACAATGAACAAAGTTGTATCAGAAGTAAAGTGTACAAACAACAAATAAGTCATATTTATATGAGTTATTCTGCCATTTGGGTCGAACTATTGTTGGAAGATTAAATACACGTAGGGTCTGTTTGATTGTAAACGTGGAAAAAAGCAAATCAATTTCATCTAAGTTGAAAAAGAAAAAACCATCAAAACCATAGGAATACATTTTCCATGAAATTGGCCAAAAACATGTCTTAAGTGTTTGTTACTTGAAATTTGAACTCCATTTTTACCTTCGTATCAAACAACCAAAGTAGAAAACGAATTCCTCGAATGTGACATTTTCCCAAATGGACCCTTGGTTCTTCACAATCCGAGTAGAATAAGATGTCTATTTATGTAAGTCTACCATATCATAATAAAGAAAGAGCTTTTTGGGTACGTGTTAGGGAACATTTTAACTAATAAGATGTCTACCTCATAAAATATGCTAAATAATCTCGATTTCAACAAAATAATATTTGAAATTTACTTGAAAGGAACAGTTTGGCAGGTTCTTATATGTATATATTTCACTATTGGACATTTTCTAAATGGATTGCAAAGTTGACTAAGATTCTATAAATTAAAAAAGAAGGAAAATTTTTGGCCCCCAGGATATATTCCAGTGGTACAAAGGACAAGGGTGAGGTATACTTAACCTTGCTGGCAGCCGCATTGTGAGGATTCGATTCCTGAAATATGGATTGAGACTCTTTGTAGGCACCAGTGTACAGACATCTCTTGTTCCCTAATTTACTGAAGCACATTCCACAATTAACCTCTCTCACGATACTCCACGGGTGGGGCGGTGGGGGACCAATCTTAAGATTGGAGTTCAACCTTTTTTTTTAAGAATTATTATCCAGATGTCCTTCTCCCAAGTCAATACCTATTATTCAAAATTGAATAGTATGGCTTATTAGGTGACTTTGTCATAAAATAAGTTCGTCTCACCAATCGACCTTATGGCAGTGATCGATTTACAGTCGAGAAGATAAGTGTATATATGCAATTTGAACACAAGGATGTACAACAATCAATTTGGTTTTGTTGTTCTGTGAATTTAATGATCAAACTTCATCTTGCAACTAATAATATGACAAGTACAGTGTTTTCTCAAAGCACTATTTGTGGGGGAACTTTTTTAAAGCAACTGGACTTGCTGATTATGACAAGTGAGTGTGATGAACAACTACTTTATTTATTAAGTTGTTGGAAAGAATGATCACAAACCAAACTTTAAGACACCCTTTTATGCATTTATATTGTCATAAATTTCATAAAGAGAACTAAGAATCTTATGATGACACTGTTATATATATATATATATAAACAGAGTTTTGTACTTGCACAGCTCAAGACTACTTCATTTATTTTAAAAAGAAATTATACAGAAATATATATATATATATATATGTTTACACTTGCACAGCTCAAGATTCCAGCACTCCTACCCTATTTCATTTATCTTAAAAAGAAATTATATAGTTTAACATATATATATATATATATATGTTTACACTTGCACAGCTCAAGATTCCAGCACTCCTACCCTATTTCATTTATCTTAAAAAGAAATTATATAGTTTAACATGTAAAATAAAATTGCGAAATGCAAGTCTACTACCGTATGTTAGAATGTAGGCGGACCGACTTTTAGATGGGCGTTCATCCCAAAAGCAAACGAGGTCGCCACCTAAAGTCATGTTATTATCGAGAACAATCTCACAAACATGTCCTAAAGGGACTATTCGATTAGGTTCAAAACCAAATATTATGACGAAGGTTGGCCAGTCTTTGGTGGGGAGCTTACCCTTAAAACTAACGAGGTCACACACCAAGGTCATGGATATCTTTGTAGAGCTTTGATTTGGGAGTCATAGGGCTCTCACTTGACCCGACGGGCTTGGAGAGGATATTTTCAAAAAATTGCTTCGAGATTGCGTTATCATCAACTCAAGATAAAGGAAGGAGTTTGGTATCTCTAAGACAGCATTCAGAACTCGATATGAACGCTAACGTTCAAGGTCAGGCCATTTGAGTTAACCAATTTATTTATTCCAGGAATTAATGAACCAAAACTTTCATCCATACATAGGCTGGTTCGATTTAGTCTTTATGGCAACATGTAATATACCCAAAAGATAAAGAACATCAAAAAGAGCAAGAAGATTGTATTCAACACCCTTCGCAAGAAGTACAGCTCTCACCTAAGGTCTTCTTATTTATTTGATTTTTATCTGCTGAACCTTCAGAATTAAATACTACCAAAACAGAGAATTTGACAGATTGTCGTTTCTGGCATGTAGAGCCAGAAAGGAAGAATAACATACAAGAACGAACCAAATCTCTAAGCCCAAAATATCCCAAAAAAGGAAACAAAAGCATTGTCGAAATTTCAAAAGTTTAAAACTTTACAGCATCAAAGTATGAACAAAAGTGTGTGTTCACATTCCATTTAAAAATATGTTCATTCCACATTCGACCCCGATGTACATATTTCTATATCTTATCCATAGTTTTCGCATTCCCAAATAGTTTCACAAGATAATTCAACAACCCAACGACAATTTTTTCATTAAAAACAACAAATATCAAACAATAGTTACCCCCAAACCTTTTAACTCACAACTAAGTTTAATAAAAATCACAAAAAATGAATGTGAAAAATGAACAAAACAAACCCTTCTTATCACATTATATTCATAATTCTCAGTCAGAGGGCTTGGTCTTGGACCTGTAGAGAAGCTTCTTCCTCTTTGAAGTTTGGTTGTCGAAAGTAAGGACAACCTTCCCGGGTTCACCAATTTTGAAGCTACAGCCACTTATGGGTTCATCGGCTGGTCCAATCTTCCTCGACTTCTGAATAATCCAAGTATATCCACCCTCGGCACTAGGAACAAACTCAGCACCATAAGAGACATCCCAGCCCACCACTCTCGCCTCCCAAACCAATGTGCATGCCTGCAAATTCAACAATACATAGATCAATTTTAAGCAATTTATTGCACTTCTCAAATGTGGAATTATTATATTGTATCTTGGAAAGAATTGCACACCTCAGAGATTGGAAATTCAACGGTGTATTTTGCTGCTGGCTTAATACTGGTCTCTGTTGCAGGATCAGCAATGGTGAATTCATGTTCACCCTCACGGCTAAGGCCACCGTATTGAACCGGCACTTGCTCAGGTGCTATGTATCTGATAATTTACAATCGAGACACAAATTAAAACTCAAAATTCAATCACCCAACTAGAATAAAAATAAAAAACCAGGTATCGAAAGAGCATCAACTAACGAAATTTACTAACTTTAAGAGGGTCTCAGCAGTCTTGGTAGGGCCTGCAAATACAAACTTGCTCTTGGTCCTTGCAGTAAAAAATGGACTGATCATCCGATTGTAAGCTACGTACCACCATGGAACATTGATGAACACCTTATAATTGCCAACAACATGTCGAATTAGTACCAATAAAACAAAAATAACACAAAAAGTTCTAATTAAACCAGTGTGTTGAAAATCGACCCGCCAAGACCAAGTGATTCGTCCAGTTATAATTAAAAAACATGCTTACAGAAACCATGACGAAACCAGTCTAACAGGAATCGGAAGAACCAGCTACCATGGTTATAGAACATGGTAACTAGTGATGAATATCATTCATATCATAGAACTTTATGGTGTTTGTACATATTAGTAATTCTCCAATTCATAGGCTTTTCGCCTTTGAATTGTAGTGTACCATTAAGGCATTAACACTACAATTTTTTGACACAAATAAATTTAAATATATCATGCATAGGATTCCAAAAGATAATAAATGTAATCAAATTTACCTCCACAAATCAAGAATTTCTATGATAAGAACATAACTGAATGTGAATGAAAAATACTTACTTGTTTAGCAACAAATTCAGGATAATTATCCTGGAGCAATTGGAGAGCCTGATTCGTAGCCTGGCGTAGTTCTTTCTTGAACAAGATAAGTCCCGGCGAATTCTTGAGATCATTAACCTGAACAGTGGTGCATATACCATCAGGATTAAAATCGAGATTCCTAATGCTTTTTTCCAAGAAATGAATCCTCCATTTCAAGAATTTCGTCCTTTTTTGGGCATCAGCAAATGTTTTATTGTACAGTTCTTTGTCCTGGAACTCCCCAAATGCGTTGTAACATACGGGGTGTCCTTCCCTGTCTACTCCGTGGAGATAGGCAAATTTTTCGAGCCCTTCTCCGATTCCTTCTTCTTCAAGTAGTTCGTCTATTTTGAAATCTTTTCTCCAGGCGATGACGTTTTTGAGCATGGAGAAGGCATCTTTGACCTTGAAATCCCTCGCCCTCAAGAATTTGAGAAGAATTACATCGGTTTTTTCATCCTCCAGAAGTGGAATTCCCCAGATTTTAACCTCCTCCGGTGGTGGTGGTGTTTTTTCCTCGACCTTCGGGGCTGGTGGGCACTCTTCGGTGACTGGTGGTGGTGGGGCTGGCGGAGTGACTTCATGAACTATAGTTTCTTTGATTTCTTCCAAGGCTTCTATTTTTTCTTGAATTTTCTCAACAACGGGGGCTAGTGGCTCCGCCGCCGGCGATGGGGCATGTTTCTCTTCTTCCTTTTTCTCCACTGGAGCCTCTTCTTTAATGGGTTCGACTGGTGGTGGAACTTCAGCTGGAGCCTCCTCACAAGTTTCTTCTTTTTTCACTTCAGGCTTTGATTCTTCTTCTTCTTTCTTCTCTTCAGGTTTTGATTCCTCCTTTTTCTCACCCGGTTTCTTCTCCTCCTCCTTCTTCTCATCCGGTTTCTTCTCCTCCTCCTTTTTCTCCTCCAGTTTCTTCTCCTCCTCCTTGGCCAGCGGCGGAGGTGACGGAGTAGTGAATTCGTGCTTGTTGAGTGCCTCTTGAATCAACTGCTTGAATTCATCCAAGGCTTTCTTTTGTGGATCAATAAGATCATCAACCTTATTGCTCTCCTCCGTAAACGAAGCCGATTCAGCTATCTTCTCATCTTCAACCGTCGTAGCCTCTTTCTCACCTTCCACCACCTCTTCCGAAGCCGGCTTCTCAACCTTCTTTGCCTCAGGTTCCGGGTGCGGTGGCGCTTCCTTCTCTACAACGGCGATCGTGGGTGTCTCCGTCACACAAACATCAGACACCACCACCTCTTCAGTAGTCAATTTCTTGGTTTCTTCAGCCATTATTACGATTTCAAGAAATTAAACAAGATTTTCTTGAAAACCAATACAGAAAAAAATAAATAAAATGGAAGCTTTGCAAAACAGCAAATGATTTGAAGAGAAAATAAGAAAGGGGGGAATTAATATATGAAGTGGATTCGATTTTCTTGGAGTACTGGGCTTGAACAGTCTGTCAATTAAGGGTTCTATGCCAGCTCTAGAAATGGGTCCATACTCACTAGCAAGCACCTACTCATATATTTAGCTTTATACAATAATTGCCCTCAATCTTCTTAATATTTCATATTTAACCACCCTGATTATTGCTTTTCGGCTTGATTTATGAAACTTACCTAAGTTTGTATGTGTTTCGATTGTATCTTGTAATTTTTGCTTTTTCAGTTTACGATTTCGAACGTGTCCATGATTTATGATTTATTAATATTGAGTACTTTTTTAAAAAAATAAAATAAAATTGGACTGTCGAGTTATCACAATGTTTTTACACCTTAATTATACGTCCATGATTTAGGTGGGTACCAAGTAATTTTTGTTTTTAGAGCTCGCAACATTGTTACAGCTTAAAGTATGCTCATGATTTGCATTTCATTGATTCCAAGTAATTTGTCTTTGGAGGTCAGAATGTAGTTACAAGTTAAAAATATTCTCATATTTATGTTTCGAAGGTACCAAGTATATATGGTCTTTCGAGCTCGAGTTGTCTTACAACTTAAAATATGACTGTGATTTATGTTTCACTATCTGGAAGAGTGTGAAATTAAGTGCATATGACCTTGTATAGTTCAAAAACTTGTAATGCAATTTTATCAAAATTAAGGTACAAATTTGTCTCCTCGTAAAAAATGTTATACGCATAATTTTTTCGTATCGAGTTTATCGAAATTCCGAGCACTATTATAAAAGCAAAGCCAATAAATTGCTTGTAGATTATAATGTGGTCAATATTTAGACTAGTTAATAAGAAGAAAAATCCAACCATGATAGTGATATCTCATAGTATAAAATAAATTTGTGGCTATTCAAGTCAATTTCTTGTAAGTTTATCCCTTTTGTTTGATGTTATCATCATCCTATAGCATACAAGCTAAAGAATAAAAATAGATGGGCTTTCAAAACTATGGGCACACAAAATTATTTACTAAGAAATCATGTAGCATAAGTGAAATGCTGTAAAATTGCATTACTATTTTTCGAAACCTATTTTAAAATTCATTAAACATTCGATATCAAAAAGTTGAGTATAAAGTTACGAAAATTAGTAAGGGACTCTTTAGTAGTGAGATTCTAGATCCTCGACATTCAGAAATGAAATTTTGAGTTCTCAATCTATTATATGTATGAATTTAGATCCATATGTGATTGAAACAGTCGATCTGAATGCTAAAATCGAACACGACTCAAAGCTGGACGTTAAATAGTTTGATGATTTTGTCTTTCGACTCTAAATCAAGTAAAAGTCACATGCAATTTAAATCTACATTGACAATTTCCATCATATTGCGATTCAGTCATATAATTAAATAAATTGGGAACTATAACTATTCTTTTGAAGGTTAAAAAGTCAAAAATACAATTATAAAAAGGTTACAAGTAAATTCAATGTACCATGAAAATATAAAAAACAATATTTATGAATTTAAATTTGTTTTCAATTAATTTAATTTTAGTACGTATCAAACCTAATAAAAACATTTGTTTTTGTCGTGACTTCCACCTTCGAAAGTTTCGTACCTAGAAAATCAAGTTCCGGCAATGAAACATCTAGAAATGGGTCCATACTCACTAGCAAGCACCTATTCACATCTTTTGTATAATTTAGCTTTATACAATAATTGCCCTCAATCTTCTTAATATTTCATATTTAACCACCCTGATTGTTGCTTTTCGGCTTGATTTATGAAACATACCTAAGTTTGTATGTGTTTCGATTGTATCTTGTAATTTTTGCTTTTTCAGTAGTTGAGCCCACCAACATATATATGATTTTTTTTTCCCGGTTTAATCTGGAAGAGTGTGAAATTAAGTGCATATGACCTTGTATAGTTCAAAAACTTGTAATGCAATTTTATCAAAATTAAGGTACAAATTTGTCTCCTCGTAAAAAATGTTATACGCATAATTTTTTCGTATCGAGTTTATCGAAATTCCGAGCACTATTATAAAAGCAAAGCCAATAAATTGCTTGTAGATTATAATGTGGTCAATATTTAGACTAGTTAATAAGAAGAAAAATCCAACCATGATAGTGATATCTCATAGTATAAAATAAATATGTGGCTATTCAAGTCAATTTCTTGTAAGTTTATCCCTTTTGTTTGATGTTATCATCATCCTATAGCATACAAGCTAAAGAATAAAAATAGATGGGCTTTCAAAACTATGAGCACACAAAATTATTTACTAATAAATCATGTAGCATAAGTGAAATGCTGTAAAATTGCATTACTATTTTTCGAAACCTATTTTAAAATTCATTAAACATTCGATATCAAAAAGTTGAGTATAAAGTTACGAAAATTAGTAAGAGACTCTTTAGTAGTGAGATTCTAGATCCTCGACATTCAAAAGTGAAATTTTGAGTTCTCAATCTATTATATGTATGAATTTAGATTCATATGTGATTGAAACAGTCGATCTGAATGCTAAAATCGAACACCACTCAAAGTTGGACGTTAAATAGTTTGATGATTTTGTCTTTCGACTCTAAATCAAGTAAAAGTCACATGCAATTTAAATCTACATTGACAATTTCCATCATATTGGGACTCAGTCATATAATTAAATAAATTGGGAACTATAACTATTCTTTTGAAGGTTAAAAAGTCAAAAATACAATTATAAAAAGGTTACAAGTAAATTCAATGTACCATGAAAATATAAAAAACAATATTTATGAATTTAAATTTGTTTTTAATTAATTTAATTTTAGTACGTATCAAACCTAATAAAAACATTTGTTTTTGTCGTGACTTCCACCTTCGAAAGTTTCGTACCTAGAAAATCAAGTTCCGGCAATGAAACGTAGTGGCATAGTTGTCATCAAAAAAATAAATTAATTAAGAATAAAGTTAGAACATTCTTTTAAATATTGAAATTAATTCTTAATTAAATTCCTTAATACAGCCTGTCAAATAATCATAAATTGTTTAAATAAATAAAAAATAAAGGTTCTCCGTCATCATCGCCGCTGTAAAGCCGGCTTATCAAATTGATGACTTAATTAATTAAAAAATATTTATAGATACAGTAATGTTTGTATAGGTAACAGGTGTGAGGTGGGGCCCACTTCCGTCTTTCGTGCAGCAAAGCAATCCAAATGTTGGGCTGTTGGATGAACTTTCTTTGCTGTCCTTTTCATTTTGAAATTTGAGATTAAAAATAATTTTCCTTTTTTTTTTTTTTAATTATTGATTTTGATTTCTCCTAGTTTAATAGTAATCCGACACCACTTAATCGTAAGTCGATTATAAATATGGCCGATTATTAAAAAATAAAAAATCTATATTATAGATTTTGTGTCAAGAAACATGATTAAACTTAATTTATAGTATTAGAAAACCAATTTAAAGCTTAGTATTTATCCGTTGTGCTCGAATTTTGACTAGCATATTAAGAAAATTATTAATGGAACCAATCAAACCAACTTTCAATCGATCTAATCAATTTTGACTAGTATATTAGACAAGTCTGATAAATATTAGTTTTTCAATATCTTGATGTATAACAATCTATCTCGAATTTTGATCATTTTTCTCTCTTTTTACTAGTTTATTAAGAAAATGATCCATTGAACTAATCAGATCAAGTTTTGATCAAACCACACGATTTCGACTAGATATTAGATAAGTCTTTTATAACTTTTACAATTTATGATAGGGTTAGCAATGGTCCGAACCACCAACTTTTTGACCAAATCATAACAACGTAAGTCGGTTCGGCTCGATTCGGGTTGTTAATAGCCACGAAAATAAATTATTTTTTATAGGTCAACCATCAAATTGAAAAAAAAAAAAAAATACAATTTATGATAAAAAGTCAATGAAAACAAAAGCATAATACTAACGGAATAAACGGTTCGAATTGTTCAGAGAGTGTTGGCCCTGCACGCAAAATGCGGACTTCAGAAGTTTAAGCATGCATGGGGGAAGGGAAAGAGAAGAATGAGTGAATGGACAATGGGATTACTCTCATATATTGCTTAGACGATCTTCGCCAACTATCCATCTCGTCAACTGGCTTGGGTCGACAACTAGAGCTTTACATGATTTTGGAAATATCCCGAGATCAGAACCAATTCGGTCATACTCCTTGAAAGCAGCTTCCATCTCTGCCTCGGCCGCAGAATCATCCATGCAGTCAACTGTGCTGACACCAAGAAGGTCAGCGTAGTATTGTTCTTTCTCGAGATCATTTTGGAAGGGTTCCATTGCAGGGCCCTGGAAGTCAACAATTCAAATACATAAAGTGTGTGTTTGGTAAGCAGTATAAACACAACAACAAATCCGTTACAGGAACAATGTCACAAATATATACTAGGCAAATTTTCATTGGAAGTTTTGGTCAATGACAGGTTTTTATACAAGAATTTTACTACATGTACATCAAACTTTACATAATGAATTACATAATACCATACGTCACTATATCATTTTCTAGTTTAAAACAGTGTCAACTATTCTTCCAATTTTTTCCCTCCACATCATTTTATGTAATCATTTATGTACAATATTTATGTACAAATTATACAAATATATACATGGCAAATTTTCATTGATAGTTAAAAAACTGCCAATCATAAACTGCCATTTCACGCCCTGTCATTGAGCCTGTTCAATCAGCTTTTTCCCCTTTGACAAGATTTTAACAATAGAGAAACCAACAAAAAATAGCTCGATTATTCACCAGTATGTAACTTCCATCTGTACTCCTAAATAATCATCCGAGAAGTTGTAGTAGTTTTATGTCAAGAATTACACTACCTGAATAAGTTCGGCATAATGCCGATAGATCTCACTGCTTTCGTCTTGATCACCAAGCAATGTACCACCATACCAACCATTAGCCTCGTCCACTGTTGTCATTGCCAGGTATCTACGGGAGAAAAGAATTTACAAAATCATTTTTGTGTCAACATACATACATAGAAATGCCTGATTGAGCATTGTTATTTGAAAGGAGAAAGTATCCATTATGTTTTTAAGTTCATGAAATAATTATTCTTCCAACTATACACATACCAAGTTCTAAATAATATTAATACCCAAAATTGATGATTTTCACAGGATTGGAAAACCAACATATTGAAGTGCATCCGAGCGAATCTTTATGCAGTCGAACTTGATCACCCAACAGAAGGGTTATATTCAACATCTAAAAAGAAAAATCTAAAAGAAACAACTTAAGCACTGATATCTGGATTCTATGCTTTTAGAAATTCATAAACTAATAATGATGGCTAAATAATGCAAAACTCAAGTTTTAGGAAAATTGTACTTTGTAGAAAAGTGAAAGATAATGCATATATTAAAAGCATGTCGGGAGTGTTTATAAACTATATAAATTATAAAAAGATAGGAAAGAGTGGTGGGTAAAAGATTAGTACTTGTGGGTCTCCCGAGATGTGTGATTAAAAAGTGGTTCAAGTGTTTATAAACATGAACCAAACAAAGGCTAAATTTTCAGCAAAACAAGCATACCATGTTCGACAAATGAAAATAATGCAACCTACGGCAACTGAAATAAAAAAGGTAAACATAATCCCTTCCTGCAACTGTTAACTATACAAGTACACTCATGTTTGGCTATGTTTAAAAGTTACTCTTCTAAAAAAAGTAACTTTGAAAATCATGTTATGCAAGATAGTAACTTAAAAAGCAAGTTTTATGCATTTTTAGGTGCAACCAAACATTGCTGCAAGTCTCTGTTGACACGAAGTACTAGAAGTTGCTGAAACAACTAACAAAGTCAAGTGGCTGTACTTTTAATGAAATTACCTTCTGAATATATCTTCTTCATTGCTAACAACGACTGGCGAAAACAAATTAAGGTCACTTAAGCCATCAATTTTCTTCTCGTCACAAACTCCTCCATTTGCAACTTCATGTGGAGCCAATTTTGGTGCAGAGCTACTACCTTCATATTTCCTCTGGCCAAAAAGCCAATTTGGGCTCTTAAGTTGTATTTCACTGCATTAACAAGCTTTCATGTTCATTGAGTTCATTCAAACGAAGAAATTATAAAATATCAATTTCAAGAGGCAGGACAAAAGAAAACCCAGCAGAACATCAAAATTAATATGATTCATATGAAAGTCAAAGACCACTGTGTTCCACCGCATGGAAAAAAAGGGAATCATTACGTCCTCAAATATTTCAGAACTGAAGTAATAGCAGACAAGTGCACATATATGACCAGTGATTCTTAAAAGATTCCCGACTGACAAGAGGCGAAAAGAGCTAAAACAAAGATCTTGTGAGCATTAAGTTCAGCTGATCCCTTGACAATGGTGGCAGACACTACTATTGGTATAATGGAATCTAAAAGTTTCCCTTTGGAGTAGCAGTGAGGACACAGGGCAGAACATGTTGAAATAATATATGGGGTAACGGGAATGGAATTTTCTCCGTAAAGCATTCCACACTGAACCAAACATATTGTCCTAGTCAACAAGCCACTTACGCTGCATCAGGCGCCACACCATAACTCCCAGATTTTTGCTCTAACTCACTACAAAGCCGTACATTCTTGATTGAACTGCAAGTTCTTTCAATCAGTTCATCAAATGATGTCAATTTCATGCGTGAAAAGTCTTCTCGGCATGCTGGAATTGGGGCCAATGGAGTTGCTGCTCCTAAAGGCTTTGGCTCATCCAAATAACTGCAACTTAAAATTAAAAATTACACTTATCATTGCAAGGCTCAAATATCAAAAAGAAATTTCAATCTACTCATTCCAAAATTTGACAGCACAGTACTCCATCTGTAATTGCAATCATTTGAATGAGTGGCCCAGTCCCAAACGATTCATGTAGTCGACCCGGAATCTATTGGGGATAAGGCTAAGTTTGATGTTGATGTATACTCCATCCATAATTGAATAACTTGGTTTGACTTTCTTGATCACAGACAAGGTTTTCCAATGTACAAATCTTTTTAGAGAAGCATCTCTATGGTAAGAATTTCACATCCAATACTACTTTCAGTATAAGGGTTAAAACACTACTAGTTATCAAGTCAATCAAACATGACTTTTTATTTTATTTTATTTATTTATTTTTATTTTTTTTGAAGGGGGGGGGTTGCATTTTTAAGGCAAGAATAAAATAGCTAGAACAATGCCATTTTCTTTTGTTTTCCAAGATGAGTTATGATTACCAAGGCAAGTGGTAAGGTAGATCAAGGCATTGTGATTAAACATAGTAATTACTACACTTTTTTCATTCAAATCTATGTAAGATATAATATAACCTAATATAAATTATATTTGACAAATATTTCACTTATTCATCCACATATAAAAGATCGAAGGAAAGGTGATACATGAATCTACAATCCCATGTTCTTTCACCTCTTTTTGTAGAGCAAGTTCATTCCAAATCCTAACTACAACGAAGAGTTTAGTAATCCAAATGTTAGATCTTTATAGAATTTTAATCTTCTTCAACTCTTTCTTATTTGTTTATGATAGAACAGATAAGAGAGCTCAGCATTTTACCAAAACATCAGCTGTAGACACTTTACAATGACTAAATTTATACTCTGGAATACAAGTTAAAGAATATTTAAAGGGAGTATACCACATATTGTGTGACAACTTGGAGTTACCTCTTGGGGATAAGGTCATCTCCTATCCCAGATACATGAAGATAATAATCAGAATCCAATTCCCAAAGTGCAGGTTTTCCTTCCTGAGGTTGGAAGTAACCCAAAAACCTGTATAGAACAAGACAGAATTAGAAGCACACTTGCGAGTGGAAAGCTTTTTCAAAACTAGGTAACAATGATAATTAAAAAATTCTGATTCTAAATGAAGAAAATTCCAAGCACATAGTAGATTTTCAAGGAAGCTAGAATATATTGAAAAAGCATAAATTACAAATTTATGGCATCCTGCTTTTCTCCGTCCGTGTATGCATTGCTGTAATATCGCTTTATGGACTTCAGAAATTCCCTAGAATGTGTTGTAGCTTTCCACTTTCCCTGCCTCTCCGTGAACACCTAATTTTCATGGAACAAAGCACCCTCAATCAGAAATCATAGAAACCAGCATTTCTAACTCACAAAAGAAGAATTAGTAACTACATATCCTATTTAATTAAATGATTTGACTTGCAGGAGGAAGGTAGACATACAGTATTGTGAGCTGCTGAACCACCGTACTGCTGTGCTAATGCATCACCCATGCTCTGGTACATATCCATAAGTGCACCTGCAATGCTACTATCAACATCCACTTTCGGATTATCTGTCAGGCCCATTGCATGAAGTTGTCGGCCCAGAGCTGCTAGACCATAAGCATATTGGGCAACATTGGTTCGATCCAAACAGTCGATGCAATTGGTACGCAGAACACCACTTTGAAATAGTGGCACCGAATTACCATTGATATCTTTACCAATCCGCTGACCACTTTCAAACTCCCTGTCTAGCTTGGGCAACGAATTTAAAGTGTCAGCACCACTGCCAACCCTTGAAAGCTCTCCAGAATTAGCTGTTAAATCTCTAAGAGATGCATCCCTGCAGGAAGTGGTTTATGTTGATTTGAAACTCATTTGTCAGAACTAAAAGTCTAAAACAATAAAGAACTAAGAATAAGGGAAATGAAAAAGCAAAGAGGGAAAAAACCTGCATCAAGAAAGGAATGAAGAAATACCTACGTGTGCTTGTTCGAGAAAGGTGGACAGTTCGTCTTTTTTTAACAACTACAGGCTTTCCACTGTAATAGAATCCAGTTAAATCAAGTGCTTCACTTGCAACGCCACCCAAAACAGCCAAAACATTGGCAGACTTGCTTGAAAAATATAGAGAAAAGAGTGTCAGCAGAAAGAAAAGAACAAGACAGTTAATTACACTATAAATAGCGTATTCGTACCTCTTTGCAAACTTGTGAAAGTCCCAATGGATGAATTTGAGATGATTTTCTTCTAAAAGAATCTGGTTTAGATACCCGACTGCATTGGCAAACTCACGACGTAGCATCATTTCTCGAGGTCTTTTCTCAACTGTCTGAAATTTCAATAAGAAAGCATATTAAATGGTGTCATCTATTTGACTAGTGCAAGTTAAACTTAAAAAGGAAAATGTCAAAAGATTCAACAGCTTCCTTCAACTTAATGAGATTCAAGAACGTTATCTGATTCGTACAGACGAAAAATAAATTTTCTTTTCCCCCCTAAAAATTGTTTTTCTGTAAAAATAAATACAGATGATACAAGAGAATCCCATGTAATCAGAATTTGCTTGATATATGAATTGCCCCCAGTGGATCGTCTAAATTCAGTAACATCGAACTGACAGCTAACTAGTAGGATCTATAATTTTAGAGTGAAACTAAACAAAATTTGAAACGAACCTTTATCAGATTAAGAACAATGATTGGATTGCCATATCTCCTTGCCAGGTCTTCAAAATGAAGTTTGGTTGCTTCATATGTAGGATCGTATCTTTGCACTTCAAGTTGAAAATTCATAATAAGTTTTATAGTTGTATGTGCAGAATAACCAGGAGAGGAGTTTAACTAAAATCCACACATCAAAATGGTGAACAAACAGTTAAATTTATTTTCTCTTACATATAATATCAGGTTTAGGACTAAATCTTGAAGCTTCCTGTGACCAGAAAAGAGGAATTGAACCCCTCATTTGTACAACCGAACTCATTTTTCCTTTGCATGTCCCAGCTTCTTCATCAAGGACAATTTGCTCCGTTTCAACATCATTTGCTACCCTTCCATGATCATTGACTCCCCTTTTCAAATAACTGCATCCAGAATCAAACAAGTGTGAAGCAATTTCCTAAACACATGATAAAGTATAATCTTTTGGTTATGATACAACAACAAAATTTGAGATTTCTATAGCTTCTTTCAACGAACTTAAACAAAAAAGATAGACTGGACACTGATGATCACTGTCCGTAGCAAAAATATCAAGAGAAATTGATACATGAAAAGTAATAGAAACAAATAATAAAATCAAATGTTTTATGCACTTCGTTTATTTTATATTCTAAATTTTCAGATCAGCCATTTGTATGCCCATCAGCCTGTTGCATCTTTGCATTGCCAAGCCATTTAATCAGTCAAATGATTTGCATGCTTTGAAGCTTAGTCAATACACTAGGCAAATCCCAAAGCACGAGAAATCACAAGGCAGCCAATCATTTACACGTGAAGTCACTGAATTAAAGTAAAATACATTAAACTAATACTCCTTCAAGCGTGAGAGTCGACCAATCAAGCATCTCGGCACCTTTTTATTTTGAAAGGTATTTATTTGTCAAAGAAATGAAAATTCCTCGCATCTACTGATGTGTTTCGTAAAGAAGATAGCTTGATTAATTCGATCAAGTGATTACCGTGTGCCAGCAAAATGGCGAGAGCGTCTAGAAACCAAAGCAATGCTGAAATCTCTACCAAAAATTGATAGCCTAACCTGCAACCATCATATGCATTAAATTCTATGTAGAAACTTAGCCACTCAAACAAATGACTGTACCTATCGAATGCGGTAAATTCCATTATAGAACAATAATCACACAGTGACATGATTATATACAGGTTCCTAAAACAGTCAGAGAAGCACCTTTGACATAAGGCTCCAGCATATAACAAAATCCTATTTTAACACGTGGCAGACAATAACATAGATCATTCCAAAGAGAATCTAGTTTAATGACTCTCCATTATTGAACGATCTCTCCTCAATAATAAAAGGGCAATGCTATTTCCTTTTTCAGCCGCTTGAAAGAAAATTGTCTTTTCATAAAAAAGGATATTTGAAGAAACTGCCACTACCAGTTCATATTATTAATTTCACAAATTTTATCACAACTAAACGAGTTCAGGTCTTAGAGACTAACTATTACTTTTGTTGCTTACAATAATCATTTGATCCCAAGCGATTGCTTTCACAAGTTCTACTCTAATTACTGCACTTTCAAATGCAGCTTTTGCAGTATAAATCATCTTTCAAGATAGGAAAATAGAAATTTCAGAAAAATGAATTCACATTCACAGAAAGAAAAGATGAACTGGACTGGGTGCTTCATGAAGATATGACAATTTAAAAAATTTTGAAAGGAGAAAAAGGAGAATCCCCATCCAGAGGTAATATTTTTTTATTATAATCAAATATCATATGCTTAAACATGAAAAAAATGAAGAAACTAAGAGACTGAAGTGAGGATATGTGAGAACAATTGGAGTTAATGTTGCAGAGAAACAGGGTTCTGTTAAAAGCCTGAAAACCTCAACTTGAAGATTTCACATAAAAGTTCTGCATCAGGACAAGCAAGTAATTCTTGGTTAAAAAACAAACAGGCAAGGGCATCGAGAACCATATAGAAAAGTTAATCACCTGCTTAAAATTACCATGCACCAGAGCAATTGTCCAAATGGTGTTTTTGCATCTTGATCGAATTGCCTGTGTTAGATAAGCATTCCAAACAAACATGTTTTCATATGGCATCCCTTCTTCTCCAGTTGACAATACATTTTTCTGTAAACATTGCATTATCGGATATGTATAGCTGTAGAAAAAATCTTTTGTCAAATCAACACTGGATAAAAGCTTCTTGTACCTGCAAGTAAGGCAAAAATTGTCAACTAGAAAGGACTTATTAAAAAAAAATTTGGCTCATGGACATACTACAAGTAAGAATGTCGCTCTATCCTCTTAAAAAAAGTGTCAACTCTTAATCAACTGATAATGGAGCCATTCAGTTGTGGAAGGAGAGATTTTCAAAATTGCTCCACATAGGCAAGCAACATACTCCAAGTAAGCCCATCCTTAATTCACACAAAATACTAATAAGCAAGGACCCAAGACATATATCCATGTATGTGATACCTTGTGAACCATAAGTCCATGCAGACAAACATATTAACATAGAAGATGGAAAAATAGCCTTAATTAGCCATACAAAGTTTTACTTATCCTTGCCATCCACATCAGAGTGTAGTAAAACTATAGCAAGATTCAAAACAGGTAAAAACATCCCAAACTTACCCAACCCAAGGCATAAAAACCTTGACAAAGCAAAACAACCCATGAACAAACAGCAGCATAATCAACTAAATCCTACACATGAGAGAACCAATGCAACGATTGTTCATAAAATATGCGGCAGCAGCAATCGATGAGTGATTTATTGATAAAAAATTCAAGCTTCCTTTCTGAAATCAATGAAACTGATAAGCAGCTATAATTGTGTAGCTCCACACTGAATCTATGGAGAAAACTAGGCATTTGCTAAAAACCTACTTCATACATGATGTGAAATGAAAAGAATTGTCCTCACCTGGATATCAACTCAACTCAACTCAACGAGTTACCTGGATATTACAACCATACAGCTATATGGCCAAGAGCACCAGAGTCTCTTTGATTAGATTTTTTTATATTTATTTTATTATTATTATTATTATTTATTTATTTATTTTATTATTATTTTGCTTAAAAGCTTGTCGAACTTCAATTTTAACCACACATTTCATTTCAACCACAGCTTTTATCCACACATTATTATTATTATTATTATTATTATTATTATTATTATTTTGCTTAAAAGCTTGTCGAACTTCAATTTTAACCACACATTTCATTTCAACCACAGCTTTTATCCACACATTATTATTATTATTATTATTATTATTATTATTTTGCTTAAAAGCTTGTCGAACTTCAATTTTAACCACACATTTCATTCCAACCACAACTTTTATCCACACATTTCATGGGACCACCAACATTTATCAACTTTATTTGTTAAAAGTTTGAATCAAATATGATCCTAATCTATTTATCAGTAATTTTATATCATTTCTTTTCCGTTTTCTTCTCCTTTCACTGTGTTTCAAGCATTTGAGATGCACATGCAAGTATGTCTCCATTTTATGTGCCCAGCTCATTAAGAGATGTATACTTTGCTGCTCTACTTATTTAGGAAGTCCTCTGATGGCCTATTTTTGCGAATCAACAATCACGTATCATCAAAAAAATGTAATATTCTTGCCATTCCATACCACAAGGGTAGAGGATTCGGACCATATATTACCCACTCCTAGAGCTCTTCCAAAGTCTCACTCCAAGAGTCCAAGTGAGAATCTGATAGGCCCCCGTTCTAGAAGGAACCGGAATAATTGAAAACAATTTGGCAGCAACAAGATTCTGTTAACATGTCCGGCTGATGTGGACAAATTAGTTACTGAAGGTCTATAAATATAGAAGAAGCAAGTAGGACTGGTGGGGAAAAAATATTGGTAGCAAAGTTAGGAGAGTGTAGCCCTCTCGAAAGGCTATAGTCGTTTCTTTTCCAATTCTGTAATTTCCCAGTTTCATCAATCAAATACGGCGATTATTTTCTACTTTTGGATACTGTTCATAAACTGCAATTGGTATCCTATCAATTGGTATCAGAGCGGTCGATTCTCGGACTGAGGGAAACTGTTTTCAGTTGAGCTTTATAAGGAGTAAGTCGGAGGAGATGGTGATGCAACAGAAAGGAGGCCAAGCCATTGAGTCAGGGTTGGATTCATGTGGCCGACTCAACACACAGATATTCTACGGGGATAATCTAGATTCGTGGTTGTTTAAGGCAGAAATATGCATAAAAATGAATCGAAACTTACCGGAGAGGGAGAAGGTTGAAGCCGCAGTCGCTTGCTTCCTTGGAGAGGCTTGGGAATGGTTTCAAGAGGTACATGATCACTGTCCGATACTGACCTGGGGAGATTTAAAGCGTCGGATGATTAACAGATTCGGGTTACCTCAAAAGGACTCGAACTGGAAGTTCCTTCCACCTCAAAAAGAAGGCACCAGCAAAGAGGACGAGGAGCTGTTGGTTTCTCCTCCGTTGGACGTTTTTGAATCTAGCTTGCTGCTGCAAAACACGTTGGAGAAGAAGACGTCGCCGCCAAACAAAAGGGAAGAAGATTATGTCAATGGCTTACTATCACGGCAAATGAGGCCCAAACAATAGAAGGAAAAGGGCAGCAAATTAGGTCTGAAATTCTTATAAAAAGACTTGGGGCCTTGATTTTGAAGTGGACCGAAATGGGTGAAGACCAAATTGAATCAATACAAGCTCAGTCCACTTACGGCCCATCTAAGATCCACATGTCCATGACATCAAATACTCATCAGTCCGGTGGGGAAGAAATCACTCCAGTAGCTGAATTACCACTTGGAGAACTTGCAGCAGAAAACGGTATCATGTCGCCAAAACCCACCCTCACTTCTATAACTCCCCCAAAATTGGACGAAGCAGGAGTAATTAGCTGTATCACACACCGCCGAGAGGAGCCGGACAAGAAGGACAAAGGGATCGCAGTCACTTCACCAGAACCCACCATTAATTTGGAAATAGCCCCAAAATTTGAAAGAATCGAAGTCAGTGAAGAGGGTCGAAAGAAGAATTCCATGGTGAAGTTCGAAAGAAAGGAGAAAGAAGTGGAAATCATTCTGGCAGAAACCTCCACCACCCGCCGTAAGGAAGATGCCGACACAAGAAATCATAAATTGGGTTTGGGGATGAATGGCGACAATGGGCTGAGGCAGCTGGGTGGAAGTGAAGTTAAAAGGCTCAAATCATATGGTTTGGGCCAAATCATGAATTTAGCCCAAATGTTTGAGGACCGAAAGGAGTCTTTAAAAAGGGCTCAGCCTAAGTCTAGCCCATATGGCACTTACGAAGTCGTCCCCCAAACCACTATGAACAATCCGCAATACCCATGGATGGCGATGGTGCGCCGGACAGCGAAAAGGGTTTCTCCTATCAAAAGCCTTACGATTGCAAAACTACAATTGGTATCCTATCAAGAAAATTTTGACACCGAAAATGATGAGTATGTCAGCGGTGTGGAGAAATTTTTTTTTAGTTTTGTGATGGGCGCAACTGCCCCAAAGACAATGAAATTGAAGCGCGAAATGGACCAACCAGAAGTTGTGATGTTCGATGTCGGGGCTATTTTCAACTTCCCTCCTACTGAAATAGTCCAGCGCGCTGAAGAGTTGCAAATGGGTGTGACAGGTTATGGAGTTTTAATGGACACCATATTAGTGATATTAAGTCCAGTAAATCAATCATCCACTTGCCTCGGACTAGGAAAAAGAATTTTAACAGCACCTCTATTTGGGATATTCACAAATGAAATTGTGCGGATATATGATGAATCGAACAACTTACACCTTGAGGACAAGGTGGATTTCGGGCGGCGGGTAATGATAGGCCCCCTGTTCTAGAAGGAACCGGAATAATTGAAAACAATTTGGCAGCAACAAGATTCTGTTAACATGTCCGGCTGATGTGGACAAATTAGTTACTGAAGGTCTATAAATATAGAAGAAGCAAGTAGGACTGGTGGGGAAAAAATATTGGTAGCAAAGTTAGGAGAGTGTAGCCCTCTCGAAAGGCTATAGTCGTTTCTTTTCCAATTCTGTAATTTCCCAGTTTCATCAATCAAATACGGCGATTATTTTCTACTTTTGGATACTGTTCATAAACTGCAATTGGTATCCTATCAGAATCCTACATAGTCAAACAGCTTGCAAGTTTCACACATTAAAATCCACCAAAGACATAAATAGTCAGAGGAAGAGAGAGATCAAGTTCTACCAAATTGACATCCAAAATCCTTGGACATGTACCAAGAATTTCAAACCTATCAGTTTATCTTGAACTTCCCCATAGAAGCCACAAAAATGATCTCCTTAATAGTTCATGAAAAATTACCATGTTAATATGGATATCAATGATAAGATGAGTAGAGAAGCAAGACTAACGATGTTTTCTTAAAGTGACAACTCTTCCCATCTAACACTTCATTCCATGAAACCTCCGTAAACATTATCGATCTCATATTACATGAACAATTTTCTCTAATGCACTATTATATAAAGCAAAACTCAGTAGATACCCATTTCCAAACGAAGACTACCAGGAAAACCATCTTATATGCTGCATTTGAAGATATCTATTTTTAAAATGAAAAGTAAACTATTAGATGGTTGGCATAAACTTTGTTGCAATTATAAATGAATAAAGCATCATTTTGAAAGATTCGACCATTTCTATCATATTGCAGGAGACAACAGCAAAGTAATTTCAGAAATAAATTAGTTTCCCCTGCTAAAAGAAAACCAAAGAGTATGAGCAACTTTTCTAGGGAATAGAAACAGGTGAACTTAAGAAGATTATTGTAACTACAATCACAGTAGTCTGTAGCAAAATAGCTCAACTCTAGAACCTGAAATTCCTATACTGCGATAATTCATCATTGCTTAGCTTCCATTTAAAAACATATTATAGTGCCCTTGAAGAGAGAGAATGAAACAATTCGAAAAATAAAGAAAATCATTAATGCATTCACATATAAGAATTTACACTGCACAAAAGAAACATGAAGAAAGTGCATAGCCGCATAGGAAAAGAGACCACAACTTTTAATTTCTCATGTGACTATAATTTTGATCTATTTGGTTCTTATTAAACAAATTTTGATATCCAGAGAGTAAAAAGAAAACAGAATGCATCGCAGTCCACCATTAGTTTGCTAACCAATAAAGAATAATGCAAAATTGGTACTACTCAGAAGGAAAAGAAAGATTTATAATGTAAATAAGCATATGAAGAAGTTACCGTTGCTCAGTTTTGGAATGAGCAACATCAGTTTGAACTGAGACATGAGGAATTGTAATTATTAGGCTCTCTTCTATACTGTATATTGCATGACCACATATACATCCAATTTGCCGCCGCTTCTTGACCAGTATCAAATAATATGACTCCAAAAATTTGATACAACCTATAAATCACAACCAAATATAAGTCGAAGACAAGAAAAGACTTCAAACAAATAATCCCATTCTAATATAAAGCACTTCAATAAATTTTAAAAGTGCAATAATGCTTCAATTCAACACTTACCGACAATGCCATATACTTTGGCCACAAAATTGAGTCCTCCGGTAGCTCGATTGCCCTCAGCAATCCGTTGGAGCAAGCTCTTGACTTCTTGTGGAGGATATACCACAGGGTCTTCACTGATGTTTAAATCTGAGGGTTCCATTCTATCAATCTTCAAAACTCGAAAGAGCCTCTTGTTCCTATCACTCCCAATCAAATAAAACCTCTGACAAAATTAATTGAAAAAATAATTTCTATCAAAAGCCAATAAGGATACAACCATTTGCCACTGAGAGAAATGGATATACTTCAAATTTCACGTACTTGCAATCGGGGAAAGGAAACTCAAGACAAAAATTGAAAAGAGAGATTTAATCCAGCGAAACAAAAATTTATCAAGTACAATGTAATAAAACAGGTAAAGATGAGATTTTCTGGTAAGCCAAAACAAAATGATCATTCTCTGGAGTATAATAAGTTATTCACTGCCACTACAGATCACGTCATACCCCTAAATTAGCACCTGAATCACATATAAATACTTCTATATTACAAAGAAATGTATTACATGCAATTCGTGGAAAGGAATTAAGCCCCTTCAAATTAAAATTAAATCAAATTAAAAAAAATAAAAATAAAATCCAATTTGAATTTCACACCCCTAAGCATAACGTTACAACTGATCACCACGCTTCAGTTACATTCAATTTCTCCGAATTATAAATCTAAAAAAGATTAAGAATAATAAAAAAAAGTAATCTCACTTTTGATTTCCTCAAAGAAGTTAACTATAATTACCATGAAAACTTCACAATTCCAGCTAAAACGACCGGATTTGGTTTACAAAATAGAACAAAAACTGAATAAACTGTACTGATTGCTTTCGATCAAAATGAAAATTTTCTATGAGTACAAAGATAGCTGAATAATTAAATAAAGATTAAAACTTGCATACAAATCCGCTGATTTCTCATTAAACAAGTTCTACACACTTCATAAAAATAATAAAAACACCGGATTTCCGAGCAAATAATTGAATTGGGAAAATATTAAAAGTTTAGTAATAGAATCCCCCTGATCATTTCCAGTTATACAAAATCTCTATAAAGAAAAACTCAATTAAACAAAAAATCCAAATTTTTTTTTTGCTTAAAACAAAGGTTTTTCCAAAAGAACGCTAACAATCAAACTCACCGCGCGCGTTTCATGGAGGCGGAATTTCTCAAGGGAATAGAAATCTGGAACGGTTTCCGGGTCGTTTGCCGGGTGAATTTTGGAGGAGATAGACCCGGATTTAGGCAGAAGATTCGCTGAATTGGATTTCGAGTTCTCGGGTTTCGCCATTGATACTGAAGATGAACAGAATTGAGAATATGTACAACTGTGTCTCAATTTTCTTAAGTACCGATTATTCGTAAAGTCGTGCTCTTTCCCACTTTCACGCTTTTAGAAAGAGAGATTATCCCCTGCTCAAGTTCGAGTTTCATTTTAAACTATTATAATGAAAATAGGAAAAATAGTTCATTTTTTGACTGCTCTTAGTTTTTTTCATTTTTTTATATGTTTGGATTAAAATCATGTTTTTAACAATAAAATAAATAAATAAGCCAACAGTGTTAGAAATAAAGATATTTAAATTATCATCTTGTGAAAATTTTTTATGGGCCAAGAAAATATAGAGCTACCATGACCTAGTGCTCTAAAAAGTGATTTCTAGGCACGCGTGAGACAAGCCCAAAATTCTTCATCTTGCAAAATTTTTTCTTCTTCTTCACATCTAGTAATGCCTAGGCGCCCTTTTTTTTTTTTTTTTTAAATAATAGATTGATTTCAAAAATTAAAATAAGAAAATACGTTTTTGCACTTACATCTCTCCTAGGTCAAAACTTGGCATTCGTGTTTATACTTTTTAGAACACTGTCATGGCATCATCTCTTGTTGCGAACCCCATTTCAATCATGTCTGGTACAACATCATGGTCATTAAAGTAATTTTTTGGTCTTGATTAATGCCACGCTTCAATTTTGCCAATAAATATGACAAATTCGAGTACAATAACACAAATACACATATATCTATTGAAAAATTCAATAAACTAAAAAAGAAAACAAAAGATTACATGGTTCGGGGCCAGTGTAGCAACCTACGTCCACAAGAGAAGAGAGAGTTTGTATATTATTCACTTATGATTGGAGCTTACAATGAACCATTTATATTCGCATTACATCAAAATTGCCTTATTAAGGATGAGGCAATCAAGGAAAGAAAATAACGAATTATGAAAATCTTCCAAAACGTGATTGCGTCATAATATTTTCCAATATTAGCAAATCCTTCAAATATCATCAAATATCTCTTTTCTCCAACATATATATATATATATATATATATATATTCAAATTTTTTGGATTAGGTTGATTTGGCCAAACTTTGGACCCATTAAAAGAATCATGTGGATGCCATAAACTCATTATCCATTTCCAAAAGCCCGTCAGTTTATCTTGAAGGAAAAAATGAAAAAGCACAAGTATTTAAGAAAATAAATTGAAGAGAATCTTTAGTTCTTCCTATCAAGAGAAATGGCCAGTCTGTTTATATGTATCAATTGCACTCAGTTCAAATTGAACATATCAGAAAGTGAAAAGCAACAGAGAGGAAAGACTTTTACACTACATGCTGCAAAATCTGGTGGCTTCTCTTTGAAATCAGTACGTACTTTTTAAACCTCGTTAATTTCTACATATATGGTATGCTTGACTGAATAGCACTTGGTTCGTAGGTATGTCGACACCCTCATAGGGTACCTGTCGAAATTTTGAATGCCTTTAGAGTTGGGCTTATGTTAAGAGTCGAAACTATATCGAATCATGTTTTGTATCTCTATGATTCACACAGTATTTTTGTGCAATATGATATCATGCAACAGATCACGAGTAAGTGCCAAACATGTAGAGGCGAAGGTGCAATAGAATGTTCGGGATGTAAGGTATCGTCTAAAACGGTTAAGCTATTAGATATGATAATAACTTATCTAGTCCTTGTTTGGTATAAATTCTTTAAAACTTATCTCAAAATCATTTTTAACTATATATTCTTCCAATAATATAATTTTGCACGTAGTTACATTCTCCGAAAAATATTACTTTTCACAAAATCTGCTCTTAAAAAATTTACATCAAATATGCTTTTATATATTCAACAAGGCATTGTATTATAAGACAGCTTGTGTTGATATGATATTGTGATAAACTGATATGAAGGCTAATATAAGGTGAGCTCATATTAATCCAGGGAACGGGAAAGAACAAAAAGAATGGGAACATTTTCGAGCGCTGGAAGTAAGTTTTCCGTATCCCCTGATTTATTTATTTATTTTTATCAAGAGCTTGATTTGTACGCAATGTTGTATTTATTTATTTAAATTTAGTGTTCGACATGCTGCATCAGAATAAGACCATTCACTGTGATTCTAATCCAACTTCAATGAAAACTTTGAAGGTGCTTTGAGTGCCAAGGATTTGGATTCAAGAGTTGTCCTGTTTGTGGCAAAGGAGGATTGACCCCAGAACAACGTGGAGAAAGATAATTTTGCGTCAATTTTACTGGCAATCGGGCAATACATTGGCGAAAACATACATCACCTGAGCAGATACATGTTCGACTACTGTGTACTGTGTAGCACATCTACTGTCCACTATACAAATAATTTTTCATCACTTCGTTTCATTTTGCAACTATGCTGATGTTCTAATTACACTAAGATGTATTCATTCAACTACTATTTGCTTATGGTGTAATTATCGACTAGACCAGTTGTTACTCGGTCACACAGATTTGTTGAATCCGGCAAACATTCAGTATGTCGTTGAAATATAACTTTTCTTGACTGCTACAATGAGAACAATTTATGATAATCTTTGTAGAAACAGCAAACGACTTTATTAAAATAACTGATAACACTGACAATTACACAACGATTTATTTTGCCGAGCTTATATTTTTTGATTCTCTTTAGACTTATACAAACTTCATCAGGTTCCTCTGCAAATAAAAGTACCATCAATCTTTTAAGTTCGTAACCTGTTGGAACAAGGCAACAGTTTTGCACACTGGACCAAGCTTCTCATCTCCAGAAGATGGGCACATCATGTACGCAGAAAGTGTTTCTATTTCTATTTCTTCATGAAAGAACAAAGGAAAGTGTTTGATATGGATAAGACTAATACCAGCATTGCGGAAAGCGTTAATTATAATGATTAATCATGCAGAGTGGTAAATAAATCTATGTATAAGTGTTAAAATGTAAAATCCAAAGTCATTTAAATATGAAAATAGTAATCAACTTAAAAGGTTTGATTTATTCCTCTCAAAGGAGCCCAGCTTCAACTATTTATAACCAAAAAACGATGATATTATAAACATTCCATGCACTTATTTAGTAGAAAATAGTTTGTACAGATATCTAATGGATGGTGTTTAGTCAAAGTCAATTGGATCCAATCCTGTTAAGATCCAAAACCAGCAATGTAAACTAATTTAATTATTCCATAAGGTATATAAGTCTATTTAGCCAAGTTTAAGACATTACTCATCTGACATTTGCACAATTTTATCATTAGATAGTGATATACTACTTTTAATATTTTTTAAATATTTTTCATGTTGACAAGTTCTCGTGCTAAATCTTGCTTTCCATTTTCTGTTTCGTATTATTCATTGCTCTTGATAGTAAATACCAAACGTTTAATTCGATAACAAATTCTTGAACGAGATCAGGATTTAGTTCACTTTCCAACAGCAAGTTGGTGATAAATTGTTAAGAAATAACATAAAGGAACTAATTTATCCTTATCTAACAATTTAAATTTTAGATAAAAACAAAGGTCTTGAGTTGAATCCCAGATTGAATAGTGCCACATTTCATTTTTTGATAAAAAAAATTATTATAATAAATTGATCTAGTGATATTCAGAACATGGAAGATTTTCCCATATTTTTTCTTCCACCTTTCTAGTTTCCAAGGCACATCAGATACCAATCAAGAAAAATGAGACAAAAGATGAGAGTAAAACACAGAAGATTGTTTTCTAAAGATGAATAAATACTTGGAAAAGCAAGAAATCATGAGATAACATCTTGTTTCAAACAGAAAATTACACAAAAAAGAAGCAATTTTATTACATAACACAGAAAATTACACACAATTAATTTTGCTTTACACGTTCCATTCCCCTTAGGCTAGTTTCTTTATACTTCATTAGTTTGCAGTGCAAAGTAAAGTTCCATCAGCCATAAAAAGTTTGCAACCTGTTTGAAGAAAGCAACAGTTGCACGCCGGAGTAAGCTTCTCATCACCGGAAGCTGGGCATGTAGTGTAAGCAGCAACGCCTGAGCAAATTTGTGGGCAAGTTTTTGCATTTGCATGTTCCAGATTGCGACCTATTACCAGCATTGCTGTCACAAGCCCCCCAAAAAAGAAAATATCTTGTGAGAACTATTTCCACTTCACTGTTGAATGTTTGCACTATCACAGATAAGAAGATTGTGGAATCTAATGCTACTTATAAATACAAAAACTTAATTTCCCCTTCAAGAATTTATTGAGAACGAATATTGAGATGACCCAATGCATTTACGGAGTACTCAACATGCCCTTGTAATAAATAATTCACCTTGAGGGAGCACGTGAATTGTATGGGCGTATTCTACCCTTACTGAATTCATTCTATTGAAGCGTAAGGTAAAAAGCTCCTTCTCATGTTGAAAGCATTACTTTGACTTCTTGCAAAACTCCAAAGGGATCATAATGAAAGAGATTCTAGAGCATATATATGATATTCTTTCAACTGCATAATCCAAGAATTAAATGCCCAATCTGGGAGGTAATTAAGGTCTGATTTTATCGTAGATGACTTAAAAATACCACTTCTGTAAACTTCATGTAGTCGACCCAGATTAATAAGGAATGATGCATAGTGGTTTTTTTTTATTTTTTATTTTTTGTACACATTTTTTGTATATGAATTATGAAGACAAGTAATCTGCTAGAGACAAGGGTACCTACTTTAGAACAAACAAGTTCTATAATTGGTGAAGTGTTGAACTTTTGTAAAACCTACTTTTAGAATGCAATGTTCCTAAGGGCATACCGCAGAAACAAAGAGTCACAAACCCCACCCTGATACCAGCCATGCTTCCTTAACTCTTAGTTATGCTATATCCCTGAAACAAGCCCAGCTTATACTATTTATAATGATATTATAACATACTTAGTAAAAAATAATATGTAAAGATATCTAATAGATGGTGTCTAGTCAAAATCCAATCCTCTTAACATTCAAAACAAGCAACTAAAAATGATCTAATTATTAAATAAAGTTTATAGTCTTCTTAGCCCAGTTTAAGATATTAAAGGTTCGGTATACTCACAATTTTCATTAATGAATAGCAGCAAAACGTAAACATGATATCGATGTTCTCTTTCAAATGAAACCTCATTTGAAAGCTTTTAACAGGATACGTTTATAAATAAATGTTCCAAGTTCAAGTCTCACCATTACTTATTTGTGAAAATTTTATACATGTTACACCTTATTTAAAAATGAATCTAGTCTACACATGAATGACACGTTACAAATATATTTAAACAAAAAGAGGACCCGGTGCCTATTCAAAGTCAACTTGATCGAAATTCAAAACTAGAAATTAAAATAATCCATTAAGATTGATAAGGATGTTTAAAGGGATACTTAAGATTCAGCAAGAGTTTTTGACAAACCTGCAATAATATTTTTATGAGGTAATTCTACAAGGCTGCAGCATAAATGAACTAAGTTCACACCACAGTGGACTCGCTTATTTATTTATTTATTATTATTATTTTTTTTTTACTATTTTCACTTTGACAATATTATATTGGTCTATGCTTTTTGGAGGAGAAAATTACTGATGGGATCCAAAATATTAAAAGAGAACAACCACGTCCTCAGTTTTTTTTCTTTGTAGCAATTCCCCACCGTTTCTTGCTAGAAAAATGAAAAAGTAACTTCTTAGTTCAATGTTTTACTTTTTCAAGAGCAAATCTTTATTTACCTTCCAAAACGTTCTTTTAAAATTTTTCAGGATTATGCAAACATGAATAATCAAAATTTCTTGTAACTTAAATAGACTTTATTGACCAAATTTATTCAATACACCGTAGTCCATAAGATTGTACACAACTTCAGAAATATTTTGATTATTTAGGCATGCTACTTAAGCCACAACATTAGCAAGCTCGTTTACTAGTTAACAATATATTGACACTCCATTGGCAAGGTGAAGGGTACAGCCCTTTCCGGCCAGGCAACAGTTGCAACGCGGTGGATTGACTTTTGTGCCGTTGCAAGTCATGGATTCTACTTCATAGCAATATAGTGGACATGCCTCAATTGCTGGGAACATTAGGACACCGAATAGAAACATGCCTGTTTTCAGAAAATATAAAAAAAAAAAAAAAAAACATGTTCAATGAATGAGTACCCAAAAATGTCCGAGTTGCGTCTTTTTGTTCAGTTAGGACTACATTACTATATAAATTTAAGTACAAGTTGATTTGTTACTGGTGCAATTCATGGGACTCAAAATTATAGTCTGATGTGAAATACAAGAATTCTTTAATAACCCTCTCAAACGTGCCTCCTACCTTTGTTGTATCAGAGGCATCAAAATCTCTCTGCAGTTCATGTGTGCCTGCACACACGGGTCCGACCAACAGCTCTTGGGACCTGGCTGAAAGGTCTTGAGCCTCGTCACAAAAACTTGTCATTTTATTAACAAAGTTTCGTTATGTTCAAAACTCAAAAGATAGGAAAGGCCTTTTTGCCCTGCCGAGCTTGGCTTTGTGAGCCAAAAAACTGCTGCAAATAGCCATTTGGTTTCAAAATTTTAAAGAAAATTACAGTTTTTTCATTTTAGATTCAAAAAGGATTTGTAAAAGTGCATAGGCCTGACACATCTACGCATCGCCTGGCTCATCAACGAGCGTGTTCAGGTCATCAGGTGTGCCTGGAGTCCAGGCAAGGCCAAGGGATGACCTGACGAGCTGCTTCAAAACTCGTCCATGCCTGGTTCATCTCTATTGTTCAGTATTAAATGTAAATTCTAGATCCGCCATTGATCATGGGATAGGGTAAGTGATAACTAAGGACATGTGTTTAAGATTCTCCAGGAAGTTGCCTCACACAAGAAAAAACAGAACAAGAGCAAGCGACGCATAAGTTAATTATAACACTAATACTGAACTGATTCATTTACTAAAATTTGTGATTGGAATAATGATTTGATATCCTTACTCCAATACCAGAATCAGTTTCTTAATTGGTTCATGGGAGATATACGAATTAAAAACTCTAAAACCTTTCGTAAAGGGCGTAGTAGCACATACCGAACAGAAGAAAAGCCATAACCTGAACACTGTTAACAGCGGTCATGTTTCCTGCTCTATGCTGATGCACTAATTACACCGCTAAAGTCAGATGTATTTATCATCCAACTACTTTTTGCTACGGACCGGGTTATCCACTCGACCAGTTGCAGCCTAAAAATTGTCTTTGATTCATTGAATTCGTAGGACGGCTACTTTGAAAACCATCGGCATCAATTAATAACATTGAGTTTTTGTTTGAAAAAGCTTAAAAGATATATATCAAAGTCAGTAGTTAATTTTAACTCCACGTTTTAGGTGACCTGCAAATTTAATAAACTTTTATCGAAATCTATTAAAACATATATCAAAAGCTTTGTCAAACAACCCTTAAATGATGATTAAATTCTGTAGTAACCTACTCAAATAAAGATCAAATAACACGACTGAATGTTAAAATTCATTGAAGACAATCAGATAGAGTATATTTGCAATATCTGTTTCAACCCAATTTCTCTTAATCAAAAATAAAAAATTGACTAGTTAAGGTCAAAGTCAATTAATGACTAAAATAAAATAACATATTTTCTTGGGATTTATTTTATAATTGGCAATATATGAGAGTTAAATTGGATACAATTTAAAGTTTGGAATTTACTTTTACATTAAGGGAATCTAGAAGGATTAAATGTTATATTAAAATAGAGTTGAGGGACTTCCCTAGCAATTTTTAGTAAGTGGGTCTTTATATACCTTTGACCCATTATTTTTCTCTCCAAAAAAACACACACACACTAGAGAAAACGAGTGAAGGGTCGAGAGAGACCGAGAGGAGAAGAAGAAGAAGAAGAGTTCAAGCTAGAGTTCTCAACTTCTTCAAATTCTCTTTTGATTTAGAATGGTAAGTATTAAGTATATTGAATTAATTTTTTTAAAGGGTTATGTGAAATTTTCTTTAATTCAAAGTTTGGCAAGAATCATGTGTTATTGATATGTATTTGATGCTATAAATAAGGTTATAGCAAATAAATGTTTATTTGGATATTGATGTTGAAGAAGGTGGAAATTTTGGAAATGAGTTTGTGAGATAAATGTTTATTCTTTGAAATTCTTGTGATTATATGATGCTAAAGACTTAAATTAAGGATTTGAGGTTGAAATTCTCTAATTTTTCAACCATTTTCGAGCTATTGTAGTATAGGTGCTATTTTTGAAAATCTGCCCAGATAAGCTCTATTTCTGTCCATGATTTCAGTGATAAATTTTAGTATACAGATATTGATGCTAGTTTTCAATATTCTAGAATTATAGTGCTAGTATTGTCAATCATCTAATTTTGTTGGATTTTTAATATTGGAACCAAATTAAGTGTTGAATATTTGGGGTTTTGGTGATAAAATAATTTATATGAAGGAGTGTATGTTGTTAGTGACCTTAATTGGGATTATGAAGTTGAAAATAAAATATATCAAGTTCCCATTGGTAAATTAATATTTCTAACGGTAGGAAAATACTCAAGGCTCATTTATGAAGGGATATGATTTATTGTAGCAAGAGCGTAATAACATTCTTGGTATTGAAAGTGAGGAGGCAACGAGAAGATCGAAACAATGATCAACTATTACTTGGTGAGTTGATATAAAACTTATTTTTCAGAAATTAATATTTATTAAATTTATGTTAGATTAGAAAATTTATTATTTCATACAGTTGATTTGAAAGCGTGATTTTTAGAATAAAGTGAATTTATAATAAGTTACTTTTTAAAGTTAAATTCAGTATAATTAAATCATTTCATTATCATATTTTATTCGAATTACATGTTTTAGTATAGCTAAAGTTATTTTTTTTTTAACACCACCAGAAAGTACCTAGGTGATTTTACCCCAATTTGCACTGGTGTAAATGTGTTTCCACTGTATGATCAGTTATGGTGATTTTACCCGCTCTGCACTATTGTGAATGTGTTTTCATAGTGTATGACCAGAATTTCAGCTCTACACGCGTATGACCAGAATTTCAGATCTTGATTCATCATTTTGATAATAGCAAGTGTAGATTCTGTCTCCATCGCAGTAATAGTAATCAAATAACGTTTGAGATTGTTGAGAAAATAATGGCAATGGAGAAGAAAAAATAAAATGCAAAGAAGAGAATAATATAAATGTATATCATTGAAGGCTTTAACACAAAATTAATCTCGCTTCCTCAAACGTTATTTGCATCCTTTCCAATGCTTTTTAAGGATTACCGGCAAATAGTTTGTAAAATTAAACAAGGCTTGATAAAAAGAACACCAAAAAGCAAAGGTGTATCTTCACAATGAACAAGTGAAAATTGGAAGGATTATGTGATAGTTTTTTTTTTCTCTATTTTGGAAGTATAATTTGGGGATAAATTTTAATGGAACTCAACGAATTTTCTTGCACTTGGATAATTTATTTATAGGCCTTGACAAGTTTCCACGAAATGGTGCAAGAAACAGGTAAAAAGTCACCAAATTTAAATGAAAAACGGTCAAAAAACTAACTCAACGGTTAGTCATTAATAGCCATGCGGTCGCATGGTTATAGCTTCGCCGGCCCTCCCATTCTCGGGATGGCCTCATGCGATCGCATGAGCTTAATCCATGCGGTCGCATGGTTAATCAATTTTTTTCTTGATTTTGAACAACAAATAAATTCCAACAGTAATTCTACAAGGCTGCAGCATAAACGAAGTAAGTTCACACCACAATGGACTTGGTTATTTTTTTTATTTTATTTTACTATTTTCCACTTTGACAATTTTAAATTTGTCTATGATTTTTGGAGGAGAAAATTACTGATGGGATCCAACATATTAAAAGAGAACAACTACGTCCTCAGTTTTTTTTCTTTATAGCAATTCCCCACCCTTTCTTGCTAGAAAAATGTAAAAGTAACTTTTTAGTTCAAAGTTCTACTTTTTCAAGAGCAAATCTTCATTTTCCTTCCAGATAGTACTTTAACATTTTTTTAGGATTATGCAAATATGAATAAACAAAACTTCTTGTAACTTAAATAGACTTTATTGACCCAACTTATTCAATACATTGTAGTACATAAGATTCTACACAATTTCAGAAATATTTTGATTATTTAGGCAAGCTACTTAAGCCACAACATTAGCAAGCCTGAAAACTTTCATTTACTAGTTAACAATATATTGACACTCCATTGGCAAGGTGAAGGGTGCAGCCCTTTCCGGCCAGGCAATAGTTGCAACTCGGTGGATTGACTTTTGTGCCGTTGCAAGTCATGGATTCTATGTCATAGCAATACAGTGGACATGCCTCAATTGCTGGAAACATTAGGACACCAAATAGAAACATGCCTATTTTCAGAAAATAAAAAAAATGTTCAATGAATGAGTACCCAAAAATGCCTGAGTTGCATTTTTTTGTTCAGTTAGGACCACATTACATTATAAATTTAAGTAAAAGTCGATTTTGTTACTGGTGCAATTCATGGGACTCAAAATTATAGTCTGATGTGAAATACAAGAATTATTTAGGGAAAATTGTAGTCAAGGTACCAAACCTTTCGTTTATTAGCAGACTTTGTCCAAACTTTTAGTTTGTGCCACCGTGAGTACCAAATCTTTAAAAAATGTGCAGCTCAAGTCTAAATTGATAGTTTCTATTAGTTTGACTCCAAAAATCGTCAGTTGACCCCAGAAATTAAAATTTTAATAATTTGACCACATAAGACAGAGGCATTTTGGATAAAACACATTTTTCCTATTACATAAAAAATTTAAAAAAATAAAAATAAATAAAACCACAACCCATGTCCTTCTTACTCAAATCAAAACCACTCCTCCCAACCACCACATTCCCCGCTAGCAGCCACCACGTTCCTCGCCGACAGATGAAACTGATAGATCTAAGTAGTTTGAAGGAGATGGAGACTTTAGCTGCTGTTGCTTATTACAGGAATCATCATCAATATTATGATATAAATCGTGAGCATGGTTCGGCTAGATTTGGGTCCTTTGCGTCCCCGCCTACTGATAATTCTCGTGGTATCAATTGCCGTGCTTTCCAGTCCGGTGCAGGGTTACTTCCAAACCCGCCTAATTCTTGCACCACTGCCCCTGCTAGCAAAAGGGAGTTTTCCACTTCTTTTTCGCCCAAAACCCTTTCAACGTCTGTTAATGAAGACCACAAAAGCTTGAAAAAGAAATCGGAAAATAGTATGATTCCAATCGCAATTAAAATCAACTTCGATAACAAAGAGGGGGGTTATGATAATGATTTTCATCTCTCTGAACATTGGGCTGGACTTGCTTATTCTTGCTCACCTCCCCCGAGTTCTTTGCCCATGCCAAACTTTTTACTCCGGCCAAAAAGGACAGTTTCACTTGACTTGCATACTACAGCCCCTGAATTTAATTCCCCCCCATGGCTAAATCTGCTCCTGCTTCCCCAACCAGGGAGTGTAGACTTCACATGTGTGAATACTGCTAAATCAGTTTAAAAGAAAGAAAGCTCGTGCAGCCGTAACTAGAAGCAGAAAAATTCAAAGAAATGGGTGGTGGTGGCTGTCGGTGGGGAATGTGGTGGTTGGGGGGAGTGGTTTTGATTTGAGGAAGAAGGAGATGGGTTGTGGTTTTATTTATTTTTATTTTTTTAAAATTTTTGATGTAATAAGAAAAATGTATTTTATCCAAAATGCCCCTGTCTTATATGGTCAAATTATTAAATTTTTAATTTCTGGGGTCAACTGACGATTTTTGGAGTCAAACTAACGAAAACTGTCAATTTAGACTTGAACTGCACATTTTTTAAAGATTTGGTACTCACGGTGGCGCAAACTAAAGGTTTGGGCAAAGAGTGCTAATAAACGAAAGGTTTGGTACTTTGGCTGCAATTTTTCCAATTATTTAATAACCCTCTCAAACTTTCCTCCAACCTTTGTTGTATTAGAGGCATCAAAATCTATCGAGAGTTCATTTGTGCCTACACACGGGTCTGTCCAATAGCTCTTGGGACCCGGTTGAAAGGTCTTGAGCCTTGAAACAAAAACTTGTCATTTTATTAGCAAAGTGTCGTTATGTTCAAAACTCAAAAGATAGGAAAGGCCTTTTTGCCCTGCCTAGCTTGGCTTTGTGAGCCAAAAGACTGCTGCAAATAGACAGTTCGTTTAAAAATTTTAAAGAAAATTACAGTTTTTTCATTTTAGATTCAAAAAGGATTTGTAAAAGTGCATAGGCCTGACACATCTACACATGGCCTGTGATGAGTGATTTACACTCATTTTATTATGTCATTAATTTCATGATTTTTCTATCTTGGAGAGTATTTTAGAAGTGCTAACAAGTGATTTTGGCGTTGTTTTGTAGATTGATGAAAATGGAGAAAACTAGAGCTAAAAGAGGTCAAAGGAAGGAAATAGGCAAAAACTAGCGAAATTGGATGAAATGACCAAAACGTTAGAGATCCAAAGTTCGAGGATTAAAATGCAATTAATCAAAAGTCGTGTCGAAACTTGAAATGAAGATTCGAGAGTTCTAGAAGCCAATTGGATAAAGGAAGGTGTCAAAGGGATCAAATTTAGTCAAGATATGATCCTAAATCTTTTTCCAACCAAAAAGTTTTGTGCCGGAGTTTTGGATAGAAAACGACCGAATTGGAGAATGATTCCTGAAGTAAAATTGTAGTCCTTTGAATTAACTTTTCAATGCATCTTGAATCACTTCAATCGGATATCGAACGAAAAAGTTATGACAAAAATATTGAAAGCTGTCCAGTGCAACCGAAGTAGTTCTCAGCGCCCAGGTGCTATCCCTCAGCGCTTAGGTGCCATGATGCTGAAATTTTGACAGAAAGTCAGCACCTAGGTGCCCAAATCACAGCGCCCAGGCACCACCGTGCGAGAGTAATTTTTTTAGATTTTTACCATTCTTTTTTGGCCCAACTCATCTCAAAATCTTTCCCTAAACTCCAAGACATTATAAACACAGAATTGAAGACCTAATTTAGAGGGGAGCCGCACACTAAAAATCTGTGGAATCAAGCCACGCGTTCTTGACATATTGGAGAGAAGACAACAAGAAGGGAGATTGAAAAGAGAAATTCAAGAAGATTAACACCAAGCAATTGAAGATTAGAAGCATTCATTGGAAGGGGAAGGAGATGTTGGTGCGAGAATTCTGCTTTTTCTTCTACATCTTTATTACAAATCCGGTGATGTATTCTAAGACAATTTCCTATTTTTCTTCCATTATTATGAGTAGTTAAATTTTATTTTAGGGCGAACAATGTAATCTTTTGGAATCCTTTATTTCATGCAATTGAGATTCTAGTGCTTTTATATTTTATGTGTTAATTTTAATGTTGTTCTTAATACATTTAATTACATCACTAATTAGATGATTCGTGAACAATGATTGCGTAGAGATGCGGATTATTTATTTAGACCACATGTTAAAATCCGGTAAATTGATATAACGTGTAGAGATACTTATATTGATTGCTGCGGTCGTGTGTGAATTCTTAGAACCAATATTTCATTTAATTAAATTTAATTTGCATAGAGATATGAAATTAAACTAATTAAATAGGCTCAATGAGAACTCGAGAGGGGTAAGTTGAATACAATAGAAGAATTTGACCGAACATTACCTTAAGTTTTATGAATCTTGATTTATGAAGTAAAGGTGACCAATAGGTGAAATTGTTCCGCCCTAACGTCCATTTATTGTTTGAATTCTCAATCACTTTTCATTGAATCCAATCGCATTTTTAAGTCTTTAGAATAAAAATCACATTTGATTATTGTTTTTGTTTATTTTAGTCAAATAGAAGTTAGAAATAATAAATTGGGCATTAAAAGTACAGTCCTTGTGGGAACGATAATCCGGACTCAAAAGGTCCACTTTACTACTTGTTACGATCCATTCACTTGCGGGATAAAATCGACAACAAGTTTTTGGTGCCGTTATCGAGGACTATTTCTTTTAGTCTTAATTTTTTTAATTGTTATTTGATATGTTCATTTTTCTTTTAATTACAGAAAATTGTGTTCGTTGTATGCTCCGTGCCCAAGGCGACGATCTTGAACCGTTTGATTCGGAGATAGAACGTACCTTCAGACGAAGACGCAAGAAACACAAACAAAAACAGCAACATCAAATGGCTGACAATCAACAAATCCATATCCCTATTCAGCCGATTGGACAAATGGCCACAAGAGTGGCACCACCGAAACAGCAGCATGAGTGAAGGGAAATAAATGAAGGTGATTTGTCAGTATCAATGTTCCTGACACCTATAGCAGCACCCATGCGCTCCAGCATCGTGTATCCAGATTTTGGGGTGAATAACTTTCAGATCAGGCCAGATTGGATTAACTTGATGAGCAACACTCTGCAATTCTACGGGCTACCTCATGAGAATCCGAACACACATATCTCCAGATTTCTCAGAAATTGTCAGAACTTTCATGCTCCGGGGGTCCATGAAGATGCTATTAAATTACGACTATTTCCATTTACATTGAGAGATGCTGCATTGGAGTGGTTAGATGCGGAGCCTCATGCCAGCATTACTACATGGGAAGAACTGATCAGGAAATTCTGCAACAAATTCTTCCCACCAGCCACAGTAGCTAAAATCAGATTGAAAATTCAAACTTTTCAACAGAAAGAGGGAGAAAGCTATCACGATGCATGGGATAGATTTAATGAGCTGATGAGAAAATGTCCAAACCATGGAATCACTCAAGGAAACCAAGTGCAGTACTTCTACAGTGGACTTACATCTTTGTCAAAATCTCAAGTTGATGCCTCTGTTGGTGGATCAATCATAGGGAAATTAGTGCAACAAACCATGGACCTATTTGAGTTAATTGCCACCACACATTCAATGTTCTCATCAGAAAGAGTGGTACCATCAAAGGCAGGAGGAATGTATGAATTAGACAGCACAACATCTACCAACGCACAGATAGCAGCTTTAACAAAACAGGTAGAGTTACTTATAAAATTGCAAATACATGGAGCAAATGAAATGATGGTAAGTTCAGCATGTGAGAATTGTGGGAGAAATCACGCTACAGAGAGTTGCATGATGCTCACTTCTTCAGAGGAACAAGTAAACTTTATTCAAAATAGCTCCCGTAATTTCAACTCATATGGTAACAATTTCCAACAAGAAAGAAGACCAAGTTTGGGGGAGATGTTTCAACAATATGTACAGAAGACGGATAAGGTGTTCCAGCAAATTGACACGAACTTTCAAAATCAGCAGGCATCCATCAAAAAACTGGAAACACAAATTGGTCAGATAGCACAACAACTTGCAGAACGTCCACAAGGGACATTGCCAGGCAATACAATGATAAATCCTAAGGAACAGTTGATAGCAATTGAAGTAGTGAAGAATGATCCACCCAGGGCCGCGTAAAAGTTAAAGCATATGTACCTCCACTTCCGTTTCCCCAAAGACTTCGAAAGAAGTCGATGGAGCAAAATATTCATGTCATAAATACAAAGAGCGAGGTACAATCACCAGAGATCACAACAGAGAGACTCAAAAGAAAAGATGACCAAGGAGTGATTGATGAAACTACAAGGGTAGAAAAATCTGCACCAAATGCAGCTGAAAATAGAGAAGGTACAGAAACATCAGCTGCCAAAGCACCAAGTCTAAACAAAGCTTACATGCCTCCCATTCCCTTTCCTCAAAAGCTCAAAAAGAAAAAACAAGACACAAACTATGAAAAATTCCTCGATGTTCTCAAGAAGCTCCAGATCAATGTTCCGTTCATAGATGTGATACTACAAATTCCATGCTATAAGAAATTTTTGAGAGATATGTTGACAAAGAAAAGAAAGCTTCCGGAGTTTGAAACCGTGGCATTAACTGAGGAAAGTAGTGCAAGAGTCCAGAGAAAATTGCCTCATAAATTGAAGGATCCAGGGAGTTTTACTTTACCAATTTCAATTGAAAATTCCTATTCAACTAATGCATTGTGTGACACTGGTGCTAGTGTCAATCTAATGTCGTATTCTGCTTACAGGAAATTGGGACTAGGTAAAGTCAACTCAACATCAATAACGCTACAACTCGCTGATAGAACAATCACAAGGCCATGTGGCAAAGTTGAGGATGTACTCGTCAAAGTAGGAAATTTAATATTTCCTGTGGATTTCATTGTATTGGACATACCAGAAGATCGAGTCATTCCAATTATATTGGGTCGACCATTCTTAGCAACGGGACGAACCCTTATTGACATGGAGAAGAGAGAACTAATCTTGAGGGTGGAGGACAAGCAGGAGATATTCAATATTTACATCCAATATGAGAAACCTTCCAATAAAAATGATTGCTATAGAATTGATGAAGAAGAGCCACCTGATCAACGAAACTGTCAGAATAAAAAAATAAAATTTGGAGAACTTCTTGGTAGAGATAAGAAATGACAAATCAAAATTTGGAGAGCAAAAAGGGACTGCATCAATGAAAATTGCACAGAGTGCAATGATGGAATAATTTGGTTTGAACCACCATGATAAACCAGCGGCACAAGTCAAGCTAATGACTTAAAAGAAGCGCTTCTTGGAAGGCAACCCAATCTTTTATTTTATTTTATTTTATTTATTTTGTTTTCAAAGTTCTAAGATAGTTTATTTAGGAATCATCACCCATACACCTTCTACCCATAGGTCTTGGAGTAATTAAGTTGGTTATTAGATGTTTGAGCTAAGTAATCCTTGTTCTATGAGTTTAATTTTTCAAATTTAATTTTTCAGAAACATGACGTCGCGGAACACTTAAACCAACATGGACATGGAGAAATTGGGACAAATCTCAAGTTTGGGGGAAAATGTAGAAGAAGAGTCAATCAAATGCAACACCAAGACACCACAACATCATAGGCAATACTGACATTTCAGGGAAGTCCTCCTCCTTTTCTTTTAAATTTCACATTGAGGACAATGTTTCAGTTAAGTTTGGGGGAGTGACATCGTTTGCTTACATTGTTGAGTTTCTTGAATGCTTATGTGTGATTTGCTTATTTTATGTGTTTGTGTTTTTATTAAAAAAAAAAATTCATTTCGTGTTTTTGCATGCTTGTGTGTGTTAAATAACCTGGCCGGTATTGATATTTGTAATTGAGAATATGCGTTGATTTATGAATTGTGGACGAGTTATGTGTTTGAGTTAGATTTTTGCTTATTCTAGTGAAACGAAAATTATTCTTTGCACGTGAGTTGATTGTAGCGTTGTGCATGAGTATGTTGATTCACGTTTATAGGTTGAAATTGAGAACTTAGATGCTAAGCCCAAACAACTATTAAATATCACAATACCCTTAAACCAAACTTTGGACGTTTGGGTGATTGCACTGTTGTAGGGAAACTTGGAGATAAATGTGGATTTCGTGTGTGTTAATTTTTGTGTAGACTGTCTGAGACTAATGTGATGAAAATTGGGTGAAAACATTAAGTTAGAGGTCGATTTTCGAGGATATGTGTTTAATAAGGGGCATTGCACTAATCACCGCATAAAAAAAGATCTCAATGAGGACAACTTTAATAATCTCATTGTGAATCGTCTCTTCGTAGCCTTTATGACTCGAGTGATTAAGCCTGTAAGGGTTTAAAACCTGGTGCCCTGAAGTCATCTGATTTAGGAGTCATTGGCCTAAAACTCGCTACAGGGGTCATTTAGAAAGCTTAAGGGAGAGACATCCGCACAAAGAGTGATTAAAGAATAAAGATATATATGAAAAAAATTTAAAAAAAAAAAGAAAAAATAGATATCAAATGCCTTGATTAAGCCCCGAGCACTTGTTTTTAAGGATTAGACCTTTGATAAGGGGTTAGTAACTTGGTTGATTCCTAAAGGTTGAAGTAGTCAAAAATAAGGAGAATCCTCATTTTTTGACATGTGGAACTATAATCAGTAAAATCTAACCAAACTTGAGTGGTGTAAGAAATTAGTATTGAAAATTTAACCTTAGGTTACACCCTTGGAAAGAGAAAAAAAATAAGTTTGGGGGTGTGAATCCCACGAGCAAAATAAGGAAAAATTTGACTTCTAAGGTTGGGAATTGGGTCAACTTATTATTGTACAGCGTTGCACTTGACTCTCCACACACACACACACACCGGTTGTGCATTGAATATGCGAGAATTTAACTTTTGCAATATAGCTTTGAAGTGGTTCATGGAATCGAAGTTATGTTTTTAATTCTCAGACATGAAGGCAAGCTATCTAGCGAAATTTATTTTAAGTGATTTTGTTTGTCTTAGTTGTGCTTGTGTGTCCATTAATTATTTTTACGGGTTTTGGTGTTTGCTCGAGGACAAGCAAAAGATTAAGTTTGTGGGTGTTTGATGAGTGATTTACACTCATTATATTATGCCATTAATTTCATGATTTTACTATCTTGGAGAGTATTTTAGAAGTGCTAACAAGTGATTTTGGTGTTGTTTTGTAGATTGATGAAAATGGAGAAAACTAGAGCTAAAAGAAGTCAAAGGAAGGAAATAGGCAAAAGCTAGCGAAATTGGATGAAATGACCAAAACGTAAGAGATCCAAATTTGAGGATTAAAATGCAATTAATCAAAAGTCGTGTCGAAACTTGAAATGAAGATCCGAGAGTTCTAGAAGCCAATTGGATAAAGGAAGGTGTCGAAGGGATCAAATTTAGTCAAGATATGATCATAAATCATTTTCCAACCAAAAAGTTTTGTGCCGGAGTTTTGGTCTCACATTTAGATTCATTTTGACATAGAAAACGATCGAATTGGAGAATGATTCCTTAAGCAAAATTGTAGTCCTTGAATTAGCTTTCCAACACATCTTGAATCACTTCAATCGGATATCGAACGAAAAAGTTATGACAAAAATACTGAAAGTTGTCCAGTGCAACCGAAGTAGTCCTCATCGCCCAGGCGCTATCCCTCAGCGCTTAGGCGCCGTGATGCTGAAATTTTGACAGAAAGTCAGCGCCTAGGCATCCAAATCGCAGTGCCCAGGCGCCGTCGTGCGAGAGTAATTTTTTTAGGTTTTTACCATTCTTTTTCGGTCCAACTCATCTCAAAATCTTTCCCTAAACTCCAAGACATTATAAACACAAAATTGAAGACTTAAATTAGAGGGGAGCCGCACACTAAAAATATGTGGAATCAAGCCACGCGTTCTTGACATATTGGAGAGAAGACAACAAGAAGGGAGATTGAAAAGAGAAATTCAAGAAGATTAACACCAAGCAATTGAAGATTAGAAGCATTCATTGGAAGGGGAAGGAGATGTTGGTGCGAGAATTCTGCTTTTTCTTCTACATCTTTATTACAAATCCGGTGATGTATTCTAAGACAATTTCCTATTTTTCTTCCATTATTATGAGTAGTTAAATTTGATTTTAGGGCGAACAATATAATCTTTTGGAATCCTTTATTTCATGCAATTGAGATTCTAGTGCTTTTATATTTTATGTGTTGATTTTAATGTTGTTCTTAATACATTTAATTACATCACTAATTAGATGATTCGTGAACAATGATTGCGTAGAGATGCGGATTATTTGGTTAGACCACATGTTAAAATTCGGTAAATTGATATAACGTGTAGAGATACTTATATTGATTGCTGCGGTCGTGTGTGAATTCTTAGAACCAATGTTTCATTTAATTAAATTTAATTTGCATAGAGATATGAAATTAAACTAATTAAATAGGCTCAATGAGAACTCGAGAGGGGTAAGTTGAATACAATAGAAGAATTCGACCGAACACTACCTTAGGTTTTATGAATCTTGATTTATGAAGTAAAGGTGACCAATATGTGAAATTGTTCTGCCCTAACGTCCATTTATTGTTTGAATTCTCAATTACTTTTCCTTGAATCCAATCGCATTTTTAAGTCTTTAGAATAAAAATCACATTTGATTATTGTTTTTGTTTATTTTCGTCAAATAGAAGTTAGAAATAATAAATTGGGCATTAAAAGTACAGTCCTCGTGGGAACGATAATTCGGACTCAAAAGATCCACTTTACTACTTGTTATGATCCGTTCACTTGCGGGAGAAAATCGACAACAGCCTGGCTCATCAACTAGCATGTTCAGGTGTGCCTGGTTCATCTCTGTTGTCCAGTATTAAATATAAAGCCCTTGTTTGATTCTCATTTTTTTTTGAAGAAAATGAATTTTTCAACAGTGTTTTGACACATAATTTCAATTACAAATCATTCAATAAAATAATATTACACGCAGATCTAAAAATTTTCCTTATTTTTTAACCACACATTTCACATCAATACACTATTCAAAAATTCATTTTCCCCCTCAAAATGGGGCTCAAACAAGGGCAAATTCTAGATCTGCCATTGATCGTGGGATGGGGTAAGTGATAACTAAGAACACAGGTTTAAAATTCTCCAAGAAGTTGCTTCACACAAGAAGAAACAGAAAAAGAGCAAGCGACGCATTCATTCACTAAAATTTGTGATTGAAATAATGATTTGATATCCTTATTCCAACACCAGAATCAGTTTCTTAATTGGTTCATGGGAGATATATGAAGTAAAAACTCTAAAACCTTTCGTAAAAGGCGTAGTAGCACATACCGCACAGAAGAAAAGCCATAACCTGAACACTGTTAACAGCGGCCATGTTTCCTGCTCTACGCCGATGCACTAATTACACCGCTAAAGTCAGATGTATTTATCATCCAACTACTTTTTGCTAATGACCTGGTTATCCACTTGACCGATTCATTGAATTCGTAGGATGGCTACTTTGATAACCATCGACATCAATTAATAACATTAAGTTTTTGTCTGAAAAAGCTTAAAAAGTATATATGAAAGTCAGTAGTTAATTTTAACTCAACTCTTCATGTGACCTGCAAATTTAATCAATTTTATCGAAATCTACTAAAACATATATCAAAAACTTTGTCAAACAACCCTTAAATGATGATTAAATTCTGTAGTAACCTACTCAAATGAAGATCAAATAACACGACTGAATGTTAAAATTCATCGGAGACAATCAGATAGAGTACATTTGCAATATCACCATGCACTATTAACACAACTGATAATTAATTTGAAAATCCTTTCTAATTCGAAGTGATAAACCGAACAATATCCTCTAAATTATCTACTTCTTTTACAACAAATTCATGACAGTTAATTAATGAACTCTTATACAATACTAATTGGTTTATTATGAGGATCTAGTTTACCTCCGAAGCCTAAAACAATCTCTTTTATAACTTCATAATTAAGAGTCACAAAATCAAGAATTGATCAAACAAGAAAATAAGAAGAAAAACAATCCATTTACAATTTTCGTAGGATCTCACTTTTTCTGTCGCTTCAGGATCTAATTTGGAGACCAGGGATTATACAAAGCGCATTGAGCATATGTTGAATTAAACAAAGAAAAACATTTCAACATTTTATCTAAAAGGTAAATTGCTTTTTACTGTCAAGGAAATTCCTTGGAGTATCTAATTCATGGAAAACTATATATGAGTTCCAACATATGCGAAATAGAGCAAGCACGTCCTCAACCTTCAAGTTATAGCTGGTCGATCTTTACCTTTCAGTTCTATAGCACTTTATTCCTAATCGAACAAATCATTTTTATAAATTTTCATTTATTTTCTTGCCGCAAGATTGGTATGAAATTGTAAAATTTTTCATTTTGCTATTTTGGTGCAACTTTTTCTCATTTAGCTATTTTTCTCTTTTCTTTTCTCATTCTGATTTACATTACATATGGATACAGAGAAATAAACGAAGGACAATACAGAGAAGTGTTTTAGAAAATTATAATGAGATAATAATCTTTGTTGAAAAACAGCAAGCATCTTTATTCCATAACACACATTTACACGACAAGAAGCAACTTTAATACATAATGTAGCGGAAATCCCTCGATAAATCTTGATTCCGGGCTCAGAAAACAATCAAACGAACACTGGTTTACCTTGGCTCGACCCGAGACTTTCATCTTCACTTTGGACTGCTCTCTTTCTTTCTATCCCCACAAAGGAGAAGGGTGGTGGTATTAGCAATCCACAAAGAGTCACTTCTCGTGGTCCATACAATTTGGGGTTGGGTCGTTCTAATAGTGGCGTTGACATTTCGTTCAGCCATTTGGTCCAAGCCGACTGATAATTAAAATCGATTTTACATCATAGCCTGGGGAGTTATTGGATCAAAAAATCCAACAATCTCCACCTTGATGCCCAATAATCTGCAAGCAACCAAAACACACAGTTTATACTTGCACAATCAAGATAATCCAATAAAATTGGAATAACAGACCTTACCTCGTGTTTCCAACTTGAGACACATACGATACTTGCTCCATGTACTCACCAAGGCTAAGGTCAAGAATACCCAAGTAGAAACAAGTATTCACAGTGAACAAATAATCATGCGATGAAGATATATATAGGATAACACACACAGATCTTTTCAAAATCACGTTCACACAGAACCACAGATTAACACCTAGTTAATCAAACCACGGTCAACCACATATGCAACACATGCATAAATGACCCTAAGAAAAGATCTCACCACACTTATCCTATCCCATTTCGTGTTACTCCCACCTCGAGAACACATATCTCCTCTCATCGCCCACCATGCTCACTAAACCAATTACTTAACTCATGTCTAACTGGCAAGTCACAATAGATCCTAAACTCTCGGGATAATCCTCTATCACCACATCACTTCTCCCAACCTACGTGGATAATGGGACTCCACCTTACAGAAGTGATAGAAGTGCCTCTCTCACACTCCACCTGTACAGGGTCTCTTTTACAGATAAAGGATTCTACACATTTGATCACATCTCCACTCGTGATCCAAATGTCACACTCTACATCCCTCGTGCATATCACCAATGCACCTCTAGGCATCTATACTCCACCTTACCAAAAGACATCCAACTCACTGCTAATGCATCTCAAACTCACTATGGCAAATCAACACCTTTCGGTGACCACAAAGGTTAATCCACTCACCAATGCTCCCAAAAATTCACAAAGAAAATAGTGAAAGTAACACTCTCAAAGAGAATCGAAGAAAGAGTCGGTTACTTCATAACACTCACAAAGGAGGCTTACAAAGATAAAGAAGGTAACTCTAACATGGCTGCGTCACATAATCTCACAAACCACACAGGCTCACAAAGATGAAGGAGAGAAACGGCTGCCCAACTTTCTTCTCACTACCACACTCTCACACCACTCACAGAGCAAATAGAGTACGCCACAAAACTTAACCCACTATGCATGTAAACATATTACACAAAGTAATAAATCACTCTAATTCATACAATTACACACATCAAACATATTGAAAGTGTAACATCAACACTGCAACATAATTAAGTGATCATATACATGCAGAAATGATTACGCACAGATGCAATGCAGTAATCATGTTTATTCTCTCAATAAACATCACTAGGATCACTACTCGACCCTAAACTCACATTCGCCTTGTCTCTATCCTCATCTTTCCTTTTATTATCATCCTAGGACAATCTCTTTCAACTACGTCCAAATTTTACCACAGTTAAAATATATGTTATTTTTCGCACTTACCTTAGACCTACATTTGCCACAAATGTCAAATAATGACCACAAGTAAAGTATGAACATAATTCACATAGAATAGTCCAGTAAACTTTCCTAAGGCCACATGCAATTCTAATAATATAGAAAAATTGACAGTAAATTCACAAAGAATTTAAGGCAAATAATTAACAAATAATTCGTAGGTCTAGCAACAGGCAATGGTTACCCCTTCATGGTAACCCCAAACCTAATGTCACCCTACACGATGACTTCTGATGTAAAAAATAAATTACTCTACACATTTATTTCAACTGCAATAATAAAAAACAAAGAGTACGATACCGAGCGGACCATGTCTGAAGGTCCGTAAATATCTGGAGACGCGAATTCACCACTTCAGGACTATCGCTCTTCATCCTAAAGTCAACAGCAACACGAAAACAGCACCCGGTACCCGAACGTCCAAGGGCAAAATCGTCCAACTTTCACTGTATTACCCCAAACTGAAATCTGAAAATACTGCAGGGTCCATCTCATCATGGGGAAGATTCTGTCTGAAGACCACTTCACTGGAATCCTCCAGACGCGCCCTCACGCGCCGCGTTTGATTACCCATGCGCCAGCGACGCCCCAACCTTTCTGAACCGTCTTCACCTTCACAGTCCAATGGTGGTGTCCATTTCTCCAAACTGTTTTTGGTTTCATCAGAATACGCCAAAACAAATCCGGCAAAAATTGAAAAAATCGAACAGTTTATGCCTCTGATTTTCAGACCTGTTTCTGACCACTTCCAGCTCATTTTTAGCCCCAAAAATCACAGATTTATCAATAACACAAGCTTTGATACCATTTGTAGCGGAAATCCCTCGATAAATCTTGATTTCAGGCTCAGAAAACAATCAAACGAATACCGATTTACCTTGGCTCGACCCGATACTTTCACTTTCACTTTGGACTACTCTCTTTCTTTCTATCCCCACAAAGGAGAAGGGTGGTGGTGTTAGCAATCCACAAAGGTATGGGGAGGAAGAAGAACACTGGTTGAATCTTACTCACAACCTCACATGGCTTCCCTATCTCTCGGTTGCCTCTCTTCTCTCGACTCTCCTCTCCATTGCTACAACACACACACTACCATAAAAACGGCCGGGAGATAAATACATATATATAGGTTAGTTTATGTCACTCTAATTGGGCCTAGGGTTCACTAAGCGGGCTACCAATTAACCTAAACTAATGGGCTAATATTCAACTCCATATTAATCACTAAATGGTCCAACTAACCAAATAATCATCCAACCCAAACCCGAACCATCCAAAAGTGTAGTTCATCTCCGAGTCGAGCCAAGTCCATGGTGTCGATAAATAATCCGACCACTGTTTTAAATCATCGCCCGGATTATTGGGTATCAAAAAACCCAACACATAATACAGATGTTTACACAAAACTCATTTCATTTATCATTCTTTTGCCAAATTTATATTTTTCATTCCACTTGGGCTTTTCCAGAGTTCATCAAGTTCCATGAGCCCTGTAAAGTTTGCAAGTTTTTTGAACAAAGCAACAGTTGCACACCGGGTTAAGATTCTGATTGTCGGAAGATGGGCACATCATGTACGCAGCAGCATCTGTGCAAATATTGTCGGCAGACTTTTGCATTTGCATGATCCAGTTTGCACCCTATTACTAGCATTCCTGTCATAGTCCGAGACAAAAAATGACATAAAATTATTGTGGATTAACACGTTATTTGGATAAAGCTATCAGAAAACAAGAAAAGCACACAAAGATTTATAATAGCTCGCCCTTGATTTGAGAACTATGTGCTTTACGATCGAGATCGTATCAGATCTATTATACGAAGACTTTCCACGTTTAGAGCTTTATTTTGGGAAACTCAAGAAAACATAATCTTTGAAATACAAGTTGTTTATACTTTAGAACAAACAAGTTTTAGAAATCAGTGAATTATTGAACTTTGGTACAGGCTACTGTTAAAATCTAATGTATCTAATTATTAAGAATCAAGAACCATAGAATGATTTCATTTAAAATTTATCATAGTAATATGGAACGTCTTCGAAGAGAAATGAGAGTACTAATTTTAGTTTGGCGAGACAAAGGTCATACCGCAGATAAGAAGAGATAGGAACCCG